GACATTTCACTTAAGAAAATACACAAATGGGGGCGCCTGGGTGGCTCTGACTCTTGATTTTGGCTCAGATCACGATGTCAGGGTCATGGGCTGAAACCCCACCTGGGGCTCCACTCTCAGCAGGGAGTCTGCTTGAGGATTTTCTCTCCCTGTCCTTCTGCCCCTCCCACTGCTCATGCACAGGCATTCTCTCTCTAAAATAAATAAATAAATCTTAAAAAAAAAAAAAAAGAAAAGAAAATACACAAATGGCTGGTAAGCACATGAATAGGTGTTCAATATCATTAGTCATTAAGGAAGTGCAATTAAAACTACAATGAAATTGGCAATTCCACAAGCCTGGCTGCGAGAGTGGGGATGAGGTTGCCTGTGGTTCCCCCAGTGGCACAAGAGGGAGAAAAAAAAAACCCTACAATGACATACCACTATACACCCACTGGAATAGCTAAAATCAAAGAGATAAACAATACTAAATGTTAGTGAGGATGTGGAGAAACAAACCATCACACTTTGCTAGTGAGAATGTGAAATCGTACAGCTACTTTGGAAAGCAGTCTGGCAGTTTCTTAAAAAGTTCAACATACAGGGGCGCCTGGGTGGCTCAGTCGTTGGGCGTCTGCCTTCGGCTCAGGTCATGATCCCAGAGTCCTGGGATCGAGCCCCACATCGGGCTCCCTGCTCAGCAGGAGGCCTGCTTCTCCCTCTCCCACTCCCCCTGCTTGTGTTCCCTCTCTCACTGTGTCTCTCTCTGTCAAATAAATAAATAAAATCTTTAAAAAAAAAAAAAAGAGTTCAACATACAGCTATCATATGATCTAGCCACTCACTCCTAGTAATCTACCCAAGAGAAACAAAAACTTATGTCCATACAAAGACATATCCGTGAATGTTCATAGCAGCATCATTCCTAATACATGAAAAATGGAAACAATCTAAGTGTCCATCAACTGATGAGTGGATAAACAAAATGTGCTACAGCCATGAGTTTTTATAGCATTTAAATTGTACCTTAATAAAACTGCTTTTAAAATAACCAAATGATGGGGCGCCTGTGTGGCTCAGTCGTTAAGCATCTGCCTTTAGCTCAGGTCATGATCCCAGGGTCCTGGGATCGAGCCCTGCATCGGGCTTCCTGCTCTGCAGGAAGCCTCCTTCTCCCTTTCCCACTCCCCCTGCTTGTGTTCTCTCTCTCGCTGTGTATCTCTCTGTCAAATAAATAAATAAAATCTTTAAAAAAAAATAAAATAACCAAATGATTTATGAAAAGATATTCAAACTCATTAGTAATCAGGAAAATGAAAACTAAAATCATAGATGCCAAAGATGGGCATAAGTTAAGAAATCTGATAATACCAAGGCATGAAGATGTAGAGCAAGAAGAATTCCTGCACATCACTGGTAGGAATTTAAACAGGCACAACCGCTCTGGAAAACAATTTGTCCTGATTCTGCAAAGTTACATTACGCACATATCCTATAACCAGGAAATCACTCCAAGGTAGATACCCTAGACAGGGGCCAGATAGTAAATATTTTAGGCTCTACAGACCATGAGATCTTTGCCACAACTAACTCGACTCTGCCTTCTATCATGTAAACATCAGCAGACAAAACATAAACAAATCAGCATAGTTGTGTTATAATAAAACTTTATTTACAAAAACAGACATCAAGCTAGATTTGATCATTGGGCAGTAGTTTGCCAATCCCTGCCCTAGAGAAATACTTGTACATGTGATGCAGGGGACATGTACAACAATTTTCATAGGACTTGTTTATATTAGCAGCAAACTAGAAACAACCCAAAAGTTCACTCACAGGAAAAAAAGATAAATAAATTGTGGCATATTTTCAAAATGGAATATGATACATCAGTGAAAGGGAATTATACTCCTGCTACCTGAAACAACATGGATAAATCTTAGAAAACACTATTAAGTAAAAAAAACAATTCATAGAAGAGATATGATTTAATCACAGAAATGATTTAATAGAGCTCAAAATTAAGCAAAACTAAATAAAATGTTGTTATAGCTCCTATTTAAGTACATAGATGGTAAAAGAAAACTATAGGGAAAAAAATTATAGGAATGGTAAAAAATTCAGGATTTTTTACCTGAAATACACATACACACCTCAATAGAAGGCCAAAGATAGGATCAGGGAGAAGACCACAGTTAGTTTCAATGGTTTTGGTATTGTTCTGGTTCTTACTAAGTCATAGGGTCATAAGACTTCATAAATTACACATGCAGGATATATTTAATCTTACATATATATAAAATACATATTAAAATTTTGTTAATAAAAGGTAAACAGAAATACTCCCTATACTCAGCTGAAAAAAATCCCAAAATAACTGAAAAGGCTACCTGTAACTAAAACAGAAAGTAAAAAACTGGCCACTAATAAGCAGTCAGAGTATTCATGCTCCAAGTCAGCCAAGGAGATCATGACAAAACACCAACATGGCTTGTAACTACCACTTGGATTCAGAAAGAATTGACAAATGCCAAGTGAAAAAGCATTAAAAATTATTCTAAAACTTAGAAAATAAAAAAGTAGCTGTTGGTTAATCTTAAGTTCAGTTTTTGCTATTTAAATAACTTTATAACTATGGAACACTGCTGTTATAAACTCATTTGAAGAGGTCCAGCTAGAGTGCAAAAAGATTATGTACAATAGGATTCTGGCACCATCTGGTGGCAGTACCCTGCAACAGCAGGGGTTTTTTGTTTCCTTTAAAGATCCTCTCGCTCATTTATCAACTATCTAATAGGCATCCTCCAAGCATAGTACACACACATTTTTAAATCTTTCTTAGAAGACAGGGCATAAAATAAGGTATAGTATCAAACAGAATGCCCATCTTCAAGAAGAAAAATCTACACCTGAATTTATGACTATCAGAATGTCAGAGTCTGCTCTTGCTTAGAAGTTTGCTTAAAGTATCAATGCCCCTAGAACTCTCAGGCAAGAAGTTCCTCAGGAGTATCCTGGTTAAGTCCATGAGTCACAACACCAGACCAGTAAGCACACCAATGCAGCTTGCAAGGAAAAGAACTGTGGTGGTTTTTAAATATCTTTAATCTCACTATGGAAAACAATATAGAGGTTCCTCAAAAAATTAAAAATAGATCTACATACAACTCAGAAATTCCACTTCTGGATATATACCCAAAGGAAATAAAAACAATTTCATCAAGATATCTGCACTCCAATGTTTATCATAGTAGTATTCTCAATAGCCAAGATATGGAAACAACCTAAATGCCCATCACAGATGAATGGATTTAGAAATGTGGCATATATACACAATGGAATATTACTCAGCCATGAGGAAGGAAGATAACCTCTCATTAGCAACAACATGAATGGACCCTGAGCACATTATACTAAGCAAGATAAGTCAAAGAAATGTACTGTACAGTATCAGTTATATGTGGAATCTAAAAAAGTTAAAATTGTGGTTAAAATGGTGGTTAAAAGGGGGTGGGGTGGGGAGATAAGAGTGCTGGTGTTTGGGGTACCTGGGTGGCTCAGTTGTTAAGTGTCCAACTCTTGATTTCAGCTCAGGTCATGATCTCAGGGTCTTGAGATTGAGCCCTGCACCAGGCTCCATGCTCAACAGGGACTCTACTTGAGATTCTTCCCCACTGCCCCTCATCCCCCTCCCCTCTCACCTGTGCCCTCTCTCTCTCTCTCTCTCAAATAAATAAATTTTTTAAAAAAAAGTGATGGTGTTTAACAGTACAAACTTGTAATGAAAAGTAAATAAGCAATAGCAATATAATGCAGTCTAATGAATATAGACAATAGTATTGTACTATAATTATGTAATGTGATAAATATTACTACATCAGCAAACATATTACAATATATAAATGCATTAAAGTAACATAATGAAAACCTTAACCTTACATAATATTACATGTCCAATTTATTCAGGTAAAAAAAAATGTCCTTGGGGCACCTGGGTGGCTCAGTCAGTTAAGTGTCCAACTCTTGATTTTTGGCTCAGGCATGATCTCAGGGCTGTGAGATCAAGCCCCACATGGAGCCTGCTTGAGATTCTCTCTCTCCCTCTGCCCCTCCCCTCTCCCCCTCTTGAAAGAAGGTAAATGTCCTTGAATTCTTGACACTTCTTTCAAAAAGTAGACCCAATTTTGCCTTTCCTTGAACATGAGCTGTACTTAATGACTTGCTTCTAAAGAAGAGAATGTGGCAGAAGTTAATGGTATGTAACTTCCACAGCTAAATCATCAAAGGCATCGCCACTTCCATCTTGCCTTCTTTTGGATTACTCACCCTAGGGGAAGTCAGCCACCATGTCATGAGGAACTCAAGCAGCCTGAGGAAGAGCCTACTTGGAGAGGAACTGTGACCTCCTACCAACAACCAGCATCAACTTCCCAGTTATGTGAGTGAGCCCTCTTGGAAATACCATCCAGCCCCACAAAGCCTTCAAGATATTGCATCCCTTACCAATATTTCTGAGCTAAGCTGCTCCCAAAGAAATAGAAATAATAAGTATTAATTGTTGTTTTTAAGCCACTTCATTTTGAAGTAATTTGCTGTTGCAACAATACATAACTAATACAACCTATCACATCCTAGAACTAAATTTTATCTACAACAGAAACTAAAAATAGCTCACTTCAGTTTAATACTATGACTTGCCCACATGTTAATAAAATTTCAAAGTTTCCTTCCTAATACACTAAGTAGTGTTCCTTTTTTAATTCCCCCCAATTTTTCATACTATTTCATAATATTCATCGTTTTCTAAGTTAATTTTAAGAAACAGCAACCTAAGCAGACTTTAGGTGGTCAGCAAGGACTGTTTTGAATATCTTTATTTTTGCAAAGCAACTATACTAGGTCCTGAGTGAAGAACCATGCCCTTGAGGCATGAAATAATTCATGTTTTTCAACTAAACTTTTTCCCCTGGCTCTGAAAGTTACAGATCAATGGGAAGTTTGGAAAGTTTCTCCTTTACCTCTGTGAGGGATCCACAAGCCACACCACCGTGCAGGGCTTCATCCAATGCAGAAAGGGTTGTAGCTAAGAAGGCTGGTGAGAGAGAGGAAGACGTTTGCATCTTCATCCCATAAGCCTGAACAAGAAAAAGAAGACATTCTTTTCAATCTCCATGCTTATTCAAAACCAGAAAACAAACTCCAAACCTCAATTACTAGCAGCTGGAACCCCAATTCATCTCTCTTTTCCTCAAACATTTATTTGTTAAACAAAGATTTAGTCCATGCCAGAGACCGTGCCAGACTATGGGGATATGACAGAAGAGACAGGCCCTGCCCTTAGTACCTATGGTCACCCTGCAATTGAAATCAGGACTGGAAACTAGGCAATTACAATACAGTTATCAGAGATACCATGACAGGGAAAGGGGATTCACAGAGGCAGTGTACCTGATCTATGGATTTTGTGATCCAGGAAGACTTCAGAAGGAGCTGGATGTCTGAGCTAAAATGTGAAATAGCTGTTAAGCAAAGGAAATATGCATGTTCTGCCAAAGGGACAGAAGAAAGGGAGAAAATGGGAACTAATAAAAACTACAAAAAATGAAGAGTTCATTTAGAAGGGTTGAAAGAGGGAGTGTGGTCACAGTGGGGCCAGTGATGAGGCTAGAGAAATAAGCAGGGGCCAAATCATGAAAGAGCCTTGTTGGAAGTCTAGGGTCAATGTGGAGAGCAACAAGGAATGACATGTTCAAGTTATCTTTTCAAACTAAGGTTGGTCTGTGAAGAATAGCTTGAAGGTAGGTACAGTAGCCTGAGAAATGGCCCCCCAAAAGATATCTGCATCAAATCCTTGGAACCTGTGAATGTTACCTTCTTCTGAAAAAGGGCCTTTAAAGATGTGATTAATGTGATTACATACCTAGCAATGTTTAAGAACGCTTACCTCTGCAATTTTTAACATTAAAAATTACTACTATTTTATTAAATTGTCCAAATAAACTGAGGTCAAGCCATAGAACTGTAATTATTCATTCATTCATTCATTCATTCATTCATTCAACAAATACTGAGTACCTACTGCATGCCATATACTATGATAAACTCTGGAAACAGAAACAGAGACGGGGGCGCCTGGGTGGCTCAGATGGTTGAGCTTCTGCCTTTGGCTCCGGTCGTGATCCCAGGGTCCTGGGATCGAGCCCCACATCAGGCTCCCTGCTTGGCAGGGAGCCCGCTTCTCCCTCTCCCTCTGCTGTTCCCCCTGCTTGTGCTCTCTCACTCTCTCTGTCAAATAAATAAATAAAATCTTAAAAAAAAAAAACAGGAGAGGAGATTCCTCAAAACCTTCTAAAAAAAAAAAAGAAACAGTTTTTAACCACTTAAAGTTTACAACTTAATAAATCTATGTATGAAATCCAAGGCCCTTCTGCTTCTGTGAGGATGTAGGAAAACCAGCATATTAATATTTATAAGCCATAAATTGCCCATCTCTGTCTAATCTCACCTATTAAATTCTTAGATCATTTAAACCATGGATTATCACATTTTTCTAAGGCTATACTCAGGTACATTAAAAAAAGAAAAGAAAAGCTACAGAAAAAAGTCATGTGGTATGTATCTGATTTAGAAATACCTGAATATTGTCTACAATATATCATCAGGCTGTTGTCTGATAGGTGAGCCTGGGGACATTTTATCAAACGTGTAAAGACTGCCCAATCTGTCAACATTAAAGTACTTCCTTTGCAACTATAAGTGTACTAATCACTAGAATAATAGATTTAGTGACACATATAAAAAAGACTAAAATGAAGGAACAAAGACTTCAGAAATGATAGTATGTATATAAATGAAACAAAAAGGAATATTTTGGTATGCCACTCCACCAGTTTTTCTTCCCTGTTGGTGGCTGCTGCTTCTCAGACACATCATTATTTAATCTGATCTTAACTGTTGGCTTTGCTCAGAACTTGGTTTTGGATACGCTTATCTCATTATCGCATATTTACACTGATGACTCCCAAATGTATACTGCTACGACAGACCTCTCCTTCAGATTCCAGGTCCATGTATTGAACTGCCTGCTTAGTATCTCCATTCAATGTTTCATAAGCACCTTACATTCAGCAAGTACTAAATTAAATTCATGATCTGCCTCCCTCAAGCCTGATCCTCTTTCCAGCATTCCTTATCTCAGGAAGTGGCACTACCCAGTTTCCCAAAGCAAAAAATCAAGGAATCATCCGTCACTTTCCTGTTATCTCAGCACCACCCACCAGCAAACAATCACCAATCCTATTCATTCTACCTCCTAAATCTCTCTCATAACAACTGACATATGCCATCTGCACTGACACCACACTAATAAAGCATGTCACAGTCACCTTCTGTCTGGAATACAGGAGTAGATACCTAACTGGTCTTCACAAATATTTTCCTACTCCTTTTCAATCACTTACCTATGTTCAAGACTGAGTTGTTGTTGTTGTTTATCATTAAACTTTTGTTTTAATGAGTCTCAAAATTCTGTGACAGATTTTTGGTCAAGTTGTGTCCATTAAAAAGTACTGATTTTAAAAATTAATAACTTAAAACTGCCACACATACACACAAAAAAAACAAATGGTCCACAAAACATTCTCCTTTCCTTCTGTAGGTTTTACAATGCACTGTTATCATTAACCAGTCTTTTACTATTAAACTTAATTGGCCAATTGACACAAACAGTCCTGAGACCTTTTTTCCACCACAGACTGGGGTGGCAGCTATTGGGGATAATATTCATTTAGCCTTCTGAGCTTTCTGGGCAGACTTGGTGACCTTGCCAGCTCCAGCTGCCTTCTTGTCCACTCCTTGGATGACGCCCACAGCAACCGTCTGTCTCATGTCACCAACAGTAAAATGGCCCAGAGGAGGATAGTCAGAGAAGCTCTTAACACGCCTAGGCTTGCCAGGAACCATATCAACAATGGCAGCATCACCAGATTTCAAGAACTTGGGACCATCTTCCAGCTTTTTTCCAGAATAATGATCTATCTTCTCCTGCAGCTCAGCAAACTTGCAAGCAATGTGAGCTGGGTCACAATCCAGCACAGGTGCATATCCAGCACTGATCTGGCCTGGATGGTTCAGGATTATCCTGAACCTGAGCTGTAAGCCAGCTGCTTCCATGGGTGGGTCATTTTTGCTGTCACCAGGCACATTGCCACAAACATCTTTGACAGATACATCGTTCTTTTTTTTTTTTTGTATTATTTTTATTTATTTGAGAGAGACAGACATAGGGAGAGAGAACACTAGCAGGGGGGAGAGAGAGAAACAGGCTCCCCTCTGAGCAGGGAACCTGCCATGGGGCTCGATCCCAGAACCCTGGGATCACGACCTAAGCTGAAGGCAGATGCTCAACCGACTGGGCCACCCAGGTGCCCCCAGATACATCATTCTTGACATTGAAGCCCACATTGTCCCCAAGAAGAGCCTCACTCAAAGTTTCATGGTGCATTTCAACAGACTTTACTTCAGTTGAAACATTGACTAGAGCAAAGGTGACCACCATGCCAGGTTTAAGAACACTAGTCCCCACTCGGCCCACAGGGACAGTACCAATACCACCAATTTTGTAGATGTCCTGGAGAGGCAAACACAAAGGCCTGTCAGTTGGATAAGCTGGTGGCAGAAATGCCATCCAGAGCTTCAGGCAGTGTGGTTCCACCAGCATTCCCACCTTTACGGATGGCTTTCCATCCCTTGAATAGAGGCATGTTAGCACTTGGCTCCAGCATGCTGTCACCATTCCAGCCAGAAATTGGCACAAATGATGCTGTATCAGGGTTGTAGCCAGTTTTCTTAATGTAGGTGCTGACTTCCTTAACGATTTCCTCCTATCTCTTCTGGCTGTAGGGTGGCTCAGTGGAATCCATTTTGTTAACACCAACAATTCGTTGTTTTACACCCAGTGCGTAAGCCCGTGCTCACGGGCCTGCCCATTCTTGGAGACACCTGCTTCAAATTCACCAACAGCAGCAGCAACAATCAGGACAGCACAGTCTGCCTGAGATGTGCCTGCAATCATGTTTTTGATAAAGTCTCTGTGCAAGACTGAATTTTTAAAAACACAGATTATACCCTTTATGACTTTTTATTGATCTCAGAATAAAGTTCAAAATCCTCTACATGGTCTGTAAGCCCCATGATCTGACTCCTGCTTGCTTCTCTGACTTCATCTCTGAGGTCAATCTGCTCCTCACCACTAAGTTCCATTCACACCAGCCTTATTTTACTGCCAGGAAACACCATTCTCCTTCTCTTCACAGGGCCTTTGCACATCCTAGTCCCACTGCCTGCAGACTCCTCCATGCTCACCTCCTTCCTGACTTTGCCTGTCTCTCCCCTATTCACCCTTCAAGTTTTAGCTAAAGTGTCACTTCCTAAGAGGAGCCCTTCCCAACCCCGGAACTAAGTAATGTACCCTGTTATTAAGTTTCAGAGCTTTTTGTACTTTTCCTTGATAGGACTTATCATTACTACAAATAACTAATTGTTTATGTAATTATATGTGTAATGTCTGACTTCTCCCACTAGACTGTAAGCTGCATGAGGGCAGGATGTTACCATGTTCACTACAAGATCCCCAGGACCTGACAGAGTACCTGCTACATGGTTGGCACACAAGAAATACTAGTTAAAGGAATATATAAATGAACAAAAAAACTTCCCTGGAAAAATAAACTGATGCTAAGCCAATGTTTAAAGCAAGACCCAAATCTACAGAATGCTACAGAAGTGAACGTACAACAAAGGAGAAAGATGGCTTCATGAGGCAGCATTTGGAATGGTATTGAAACCACGGCTGAAGTGGTAGCAGAAGTGGAGTCTAAAGGTGAATTTCCTGCCCATGCTCTCTTCTTTATCCTCCAACTAGAACTATGCCATAGATATTGACCAAACAGAATGACACACGTCAAACTAAAACACTTTCTTGGTGCTTTGCAAGCTTCGAAATGGTAACAAGTTAATTTGAACATGGTCACAGAATCATCACTTACTATTTTAGCTCTCTTCCTTCTCCCATAAAACAAAGCGAGCTGTTCAAAGTATCAAGGTCAATGACAAAGCTAAGAGTGCCAATCCCTAGCTCCAATTCTAATTCTTCTGACTACTTTGCCTATGAGGTATTTTCTTAGATCACAAGCTAAATCTGAACAAAAGAAAATACTTTATCTATTCATTAATTTCAGAATTTTTAAATGATACTAACATTCCTTCCTTCCCACTTCATAGAACTGAACTCCACTTTATTGCTCAGTGGTTACCAAATTTCAGTATAAGATGTAAGATTACCACCTAAATAAATACATTTGTAAAGCACTGAACAGACTTTTAGGCACTCTTATTCTGGGAAAACAAGATCTTTTCAAACCAGGGGCGCCTGGGTGGCTCAGTTGGTTAAGCGACTGCCTTCAGCTCAGGTCATGATCCCAGGGTCCTGGGATTGAGTCCCGCATCGGGCTCCCTGCTCAGCAGGAGGCCTGCTTCTCCCTCTCCCGCTCCCCCTGCTTGTGTTCCCTCTCTCGCTGTGTCTCTCTCTGTCAAATAAATAAATAAAATCTTTAAAAAAAAAAAAAAAAAGATCTTTTCAAACCATGCACTAAACCTACATGTTGAAAAGCTAAAGTTATGAAACAAAGTATAAAATAATACTACAACTTGATGAGGATTTGTTATAAAAGACTTTAACTCTTCTCAAGGGTGAGCAAAGTTTTTGGGTGTCTAGGTGGCTCAGTCGGTTAAGCAGCTGCCTACAGCGCAGGTCATGATCTCAGATCGAGGATCGAGCCCTGCTCAGGCTCTGCATTCAACAATGAGTCTGCTGCTCCCTCTCCCTCTGCCCTTCCCCCCAGCTCAGGCTTGCTCACACTCTCTCTCAAATAAATAAATAACATCTTTAAAAAAAAAAAAAAAGTGAGCAAAGTTCTTAAGTAATATATATTCAATCAATAAGCAAGTATAAATCCAATATATGTACTTTATGATGTAGACTGATGATGATAAAAGTTAGTATTACAGAGACAGGGATTCTAATTAGGAGTATATTATAACTTAACCGTGAGACCCACAAATTCCACCCAAACAAAGACAAAGATGACCTTTTGAAATATCACTATTAGCTACAGAGAAAAAAACTTCCTGTTGCTTCCTCATTCCCATAATTAGGAACTCTCTCCCATGAGCTTATAAACTACATAAATTTTTCACATATATTCTCATTAAAGGACTAACTCGATGGTGTGAATCAATATTTTTGAGGTGTTCATCTCTATTTTTGCTTTTGCCTCATCTCAAAAAAGATTTTATTTTTTTTAAAGATTTATTTGAGAGAGAGAGAACGTGCATGCATGCATGCATGCATGCATGCAGAGGAGAAAGGCAGAGGGAGAGAGTCTCAAGCAGACTCCCCACTGAAAGTGGAGCCCAACACAGGTCTCAATCTCATGACCCTGAGATCATGACCTAAGCCGAAACCAAGAGTTGGTTGCTTAACCAACTGTGCCACCCAAGCGCCCCCCAAAAAAGATCTTAAATGAGATAAAGAATGATCGCAAAAATTATAACCAAATCATAATAAAATACATATAGATACCGTTTGCATCTGCGGGGCACAGGCCCTGCTGACCATATATAGAAGTTCATGGACACCTCCATAACTAAGGCCAGTCATCTTCATAAGCTCCAGTGGGGAAAGACATAAAAAGTCCTAAAGAGACAATAAAAAGACTATTTTAAACATATATGTGCAACAAAGATATTGGAATTAAAAAGAAACTTTTAATGGACAGTATCCATGTATAGATAAAGCATAATTTGTTGCAGATCAAAGGTTTATATGTTTCTTAATAGTATTTCCCCCTACATATGCCTTAACTGAAAGATACGATGCCATAAACTTATCTTCTAATTCTCCAATTTAGTTAGCATATATCAGAGGACATATCAAGTAACATCACATAGCAGCAGCCTCTAACCCAGGTGTATATGAGCACCGCCCTGGCCAGAATTTGGGCACAGACACCAGAATGTGTCAGGTTGAAATGGGTTTCTTACTAAGCTATGAGATCATTCAGAGGAAGTATTTAATAACTGAGACAATAAAACTGACTATGGAATGAAATGTTAAGTCTCATACTTCTAAGAGTGTTTTCAAGTATGAACATGAGGGTTATTAGATGTGTAAGAGAAATCAAAATACCATTAACACACAAAGCAATTTTTTAAAATTGCAGCATATGCTGAAAATCTGTCTTATTAAGGATTAAATCCTAACATAAAACCTTATTTAACCTAAGAGGGATCTGCTTCACTATTGTGCTTAAAAATGCAACATCTGCTCCATTTCTCTCATTCATTGATAGGAAAATTATTCTATTAATTTATCTTGCTTGCAAGAGACATAATCCATTTTGAATACCATCTCCTCATTTAAGTCCTATTTCTCATGTAACTGAAAAATTTCTTTCAAGTGGACGAAACTTCTCTAGAATCCCAAATAAATGGCATGAGTATACTTTACATTATGCTATAAGCATTCTCCCCTGATCCAAAATGCAAACATATTGGAATCTGGATAAATGAAATCGCATTTAGAAATACAACCTAAGTGGCCTGTTATTTTAAATTAGCCTCTGGAGAAGCACTATAATTTATCTTTTTCTTTTTTTTTTTTAGAAAGTTAGATTTTCATATTTCAGGCTTATTTTTGAGTTATTAAGGTATATTTAAAATTAATTTGTATTTAAAGTTTCTCCATGAGAAAAAGTACATAAATTTTACCTGACAGGTAACAATCTGATGTCTGTTCAGACGGTCACACAGCTCTTGTGATAAACCCACTCGTCTGAGTTTCTTGCTACCCATGCCTTCAGATACAGCAGAAAAAGGACCCTGAAAAGAATTGGAAAAGGGCATAAGCAATAGTAGACAGTATCCAAAACAGGCTACAAAATAAAAAACTCTTCAAGCTTCTCCAGATACAAAATAAAATGTACAGTATTTAAAATATTACTGATAAAATAAAGGATAGCTACAGGATCCTTCTAAATGTCTGCCAAACATCCACAGAGAGAAACAATACAATGTAAGAATGTGCATTTCACACAATTCTTTGGTATTTCTTACATGAATATAAAAACACTACTTCACATTTGTATAGCATCTTAAGGTTTTCAATGCATTTATAAATTTTATTTGGATACGTAATTAACCCTCAAGGAATATTTCCAAGCAGCACTCCTTAGAAAGGCTTTACTTTCATTGCACTGTAACAATAATTTACTGTGCACCTCCTATGTACCAGACACTGTTCCAAAGCTTTACATAAATTATCACATTTAAGCTTCTCAACAGCCCTATAAGGAAGTTTGATTATTGATCCAATTTTTACATATGAGAATACTAAAGCCTTGAAATGTTAGCTACTCCATAGTCACCAGAAAAAGTTAATGATGGACCCAGAATTTCAACTCAGGAAGTCTGACTCTAAGACTCAACCTCTTAACCGTTACACCCTACTACAAGTCCATAATCATATTTAACCTCTCCTTTTTCTATGAGGCAGAGCAAACTTCTGAATCAAATGAGATTTTATTATTTCAGGTCTTATTTACAAACTGAAATTGTTTTTATTGTATTAGCTTCTCACATTCTCACATGCAATTAAATTTCACTCTTGTTGAACTTCACTAGGGCTAAACGAGGCTCATGAAATATTTGCCTTCAGAGAACTAGAACACAAGTCACTGTGATTCCTTTCATTATGCATGCAAAGGAGAAGCTGTGTTTCTCACTGAGATGGAAAGATATCCTTTGGATAGAGTAGAAACAGGAACTCTTCATGGTTCCAGGAGATATAGCAATATAGTTATCAGAAAAGGAGTGACATTTTGGAAAAAAATACATAGTACTGAGAATATAGATACCAGTTTATTTCCAATACCACGGCCCAAATTTCTATATAACATATAAATTCTCTGAATTAAATGAACTCTCTCCCTCCCTCTCCCTCTTCTCCCTTTCTCTCTCACACATTCACGTGTGCATGCACACATACACACACACCTCCCAAACACAAAATACATCCCTCTCATTTCTCTCAGCAGGAATTTGTCAGTATTGATTTGTTTCCCAAGTAGTGTCTTTACAGATCAGGTAGTTCTGGGCAATAACACCATTTAGACTGATAAATTCAATCAAAAAGGGGAACCCAAACTACCTGGACTTTAACAATAACCAACTCTGCTATCTCAGCCTTATTAGGGCCACTCCCATTATCTGCCTGCACTATGCATACTGCCCCGGGGCAGGGGGTATTCCCTACACTATCAAAAAAAAAAAAAAAAAAATCCATTCATTTGGCTCCTTCCACAGACACTTCTTAATCACACGCTCTCCTGAGCCCTTGGGTACAAGAATCATTTAAGCATATTCCCTACCCTTTACGAACTCACAGTAAAAGATGAAAAGAGATGTATACACAAATAATTACAGTCATGCAATAAGTACTGTCATTGGCATTTAAATGTGCTATGGAAGCAGACAGGAAGAAGCACCAAACTGGTCTGCAAAAGTCTGGTCAGTGCCACAATCCTGCCAGAGGCAGCTACCTAAAAATTTGCTCCAATCCTGTCATCCTTTAAAACTACCCATGGGACCATTGTAATTTACCCATGGGATAAATTCCACACTTCTTAAGATGGCATAAAGAGGGCGCCTGGGTGGCTCAGTTGGTTGAGCGACTGCCTTCGGCTCAGGTCATGATCCTGGAGTCCCGGGATCGAGTCCCGCATCGGGGTCCCTGCTCGGCGGGGAGTCTGCTTCTCCCTCTGACCCTCCTCCCTCTCGTGCTCTCTGTCTCTCATTCTCTGTCTCAAATAAATAAAAAATAAAATCTTTAAAAAAAAAAAAAAAGGATCGCATAAAGACCCTTCATCAACTGGTCTCTCACTTCCCTCTCATTCATACATCTGATTGCAAGGCCCAGATCCTGGCCTTCCTGGCAGCTACTTCATCTCCTGGTGTGAGTGTTTCCTCATCTGTAAAACAAGGGTAATTCAAATATTTACCTCATAAGAATGTAGTGAAAGATTAAAGGATTTGGATGGTGTCTGACACACAGAGCTCAAGGTTAACAATCATTACCATTATCAATTCAGACAGCAAAACATCATTTGCCGCCTCACTTATCAGCTATCCAGCCACAATATACTGGTAGGTTACACCAATGGTCAGTCCGTCCTGACTCCTTGATTTTTCTCCACAAAGCCTGCCCCCAACTCACTCTCTTCCTCTCCAGTGTTCTCATCATACTTTGTACATATTTGTTGGATAATCTTATTAACGTATTATTACAGCTTGCGTGTTCGCTTCTTCCACCAGACTTAAATTCCTGCTCTGTATGTGTGCACAGCATGCCCGCACATGTAAACAGGGGTGAGGGAAGCTATTCCATCCTGAAGACTGAAACCTTCCCTCCTCAACAAAATAAAAACCCTTACGTAAGATGTTCAATGAAAACTATTAACGATAATAGCTAATATTTATTGAGCCCTTATTACATGCCAAGTACTGTTCCAAGAGCTTCCGTCCGATGTTTTACCTCACCTTTCAGACTAAGGATACTGAGGCATTGAGTTGAAAAACATGTGCAGTCTATCAGCTAGCAAATGGTTGAATCGCATTCAAATCCAGAGATCGAGCTCCAGATTCCTCGCTTTAACTACGTCTCCTTCAACACCACCAGGAAGGCGAGCAGACCATAAACTTCCCTTAATGATGGGCTCCCCTGCCGAGACTCCGAACAGCCAGCAAATGGGAGAGGGGAGGTGGGCATCAAGAGACGAAAATGCCACCCTAGAATCCCCTAAAAATAATTTTTCCAACAAGGAGCAGCTTCCCAGCATCCCCCACAAAAGAAGGCCAGAAGCCCCCAGATCCCGCGGCGAGGTTCCTGTTAAGATGCCTACAGGCCTAAGGGGACGTGTACTGGACCAAAGAGAGATTCTCCGCTACCCCGAAATCAGTAACACAGAGAGGGGCTCAGAGAAGGAGCAGAAAATAATGAGCGCATCCCGTTTCCCCACAAACGCCCCCCACACGAAACTTTCCAGTACCGGGTCTGTGGCATCCAACTTTCAAAGTTTCCCCCACCCCTCACAGTTCCCCGCGGAAAGCGCCGCAAGGCAACAACCCAAATGCTGACTGGGTCGTCACTCTGGCGAAATATCCAATCAGAGGTAGGAAGAGTCCCAGGTTGGCTCCCCGGCTTGCAGGGAATTGTAGTTCACGCTATAATCAGTTGAGGCGTTCCAGTCAGTTTCTCAATACAGTGATTATCAAAATCTTGTAGAGAAACAGCAGCAAGGAGAAAATGAAGCCAGGAAAAACCTTGCTTGGAATTGTGTCTTTTCTTTTTTTTGTCACTACCTTTAAAAAATGTGTAATGGACCAGAGAGACATGTTAGTTTTCAAGGAATAAATAAGAATCCACCTATCCTAGAAGAGGTTTTGAAAGAGAGCTTGGGTTTATTTTGGTTTGCTTTTCTCTTTTAATTTTTCCTTTTTTTTTTTTAAGATTGTATTTATTTGAGAGCGCGCTCGCGCGCACATGAGCCGGAGGAGGGGCAGAGGAAAAGGGAGAAGCCGACTCCCCGCTGAGCCCTAATGGGGCTTCATCCCAGGACCCGGGGGTCATGACCTAAGCCAAAGGCAGATGCTTAACTCCCGGGTTTGCTTTATTCACCACACTTTGGTGATGAAATAGTTTGGGAACTGCTGAGTGAAATTGCTCAACTGAAAACACTTAATGGGGAAACATGAGAGTCTGTAGTTTAATGAGACCATGAAGGAAACCAAACAGAAGTTTATGTGTAAAAGCAGCTGTGATAAGGAAGCTTAGTAAACTATTGCTTTAAGACTCAGTTTCAGATTACAGTATTTGCAAAAAAGCTTTTGCTCGTTCTTTGCTCTCATCTCTCTGTGCACTTTCTATCCTATAATTTAGCCTACTGTATCCTAATTACTGGCCTGCACTCCTCACTGGTCTGTGAGCTCGAGGACAGGGTTCGTAACTTAATCAGCCGGTAGAGTAGGGCCTAGCACCCCGTTCAATTAAAGGTTATCCGGTAAATGAGCAAATAAATCAATGGATTAGGCAGAAAATGGGAATTCAGGAAGTAGGATTCTGGGATTATAAGAGAGCCCAAGTGCATAGAATAACAATGGAGGAGGATCCAGGTTTCCTTGCTCTCGGTATTCCCAAGGCCTGGCAAAACACTGCCACTGGCTAGCACTTATTAAAAGCTGACTTCAAATGCTAGGGAGTAAAAGAGAGAAGAAAAAATCAAGGGACACTGATATTCCTGCCACCAGCTCCGCCGAACGCAAAACAGAAGGTGCTGAGCGGAGGAGTGGTCAAAACTGGGAAGAACTGTCCTTATTAGCCAGGTAGCTGATTTACTCTTTCGGGGTCCTAGCTTTCTCTAGTCCGAAGAGGTGGCGTCACGTGACCCAAACAAATATGGCGCCTTATTTGCATCGTCCCTCCACTGACCAATAGGAGTAGCCGCTGTCGGTCGCCCCACCCCATCCCGCCATCGGGCAACCTCCCGAATGGGACTTATCACCTGACTCGGTTCAAACATGGCTGCGCTGGAAGCTCTATTGCTTTGGGCACCGGGAGAGGGTGAGTGTAAGGCGCCCCAAAGAAGGCGGGGGCGCTCTCCACGACCCCTGCATGGAGCGTCCCTCAGCCCCAATCCCCACGGTCCTTCAGCCCTAACACAGACTCTTCTCCAGACCTCACTCCTCTGCCTTAAGAGAGGGCTCAAACTAGGGAGATTCTTGCTGAATTTCTGATCCTTAAGGAGGCGGCCACCTGGGGATTTAGAGTCGGAATGGGCGTAAAGTTAAGTGGGGAATGCGAAAGTACAGTTATGGGTCTGCACTCCGAACTAATAGACCATTAAGATTAATTAAATATTGGATGCCTGTAGAGAGATGGGATCCACCCCTCGGGGAAAGGTGGAACTTCTCAAAAAGAGTAACACCTCAAATCAAACTTAAAACAATAATTAGGGAAGTAAGTCCCGCTTTTCCCAGCCGGGCTAGTAGTTACTAGTTTGTCTAATTATAGTTCCTTCCGTTTCTCCTCATTGTGGTGTGTATTGTTTCTAGGAGGTGCTCCACGACTGAGAAAATTGACAATGTGTTCTGCGTAATTCATCTCTTTCTATCTCCCTGCACTCTGTGCTGGGAAAATGCATCATCCATTTGGACAAGAGGAAACTGCTTCTCAGAAGCAACTTTTTGGGTTTTTCTGTGAGTGCCTTCGCAGAGGAGAATGGGAGCTGGCTCAGGCATGTGTACCTCAGCTACACCAGGCACAAGGGGATATCCCAAAAAAGGTGGAAGATATTCTTCAGGCGCTGGTGGTGTGTCCAGATCAGCTGAGGTAAGGGATCTCGCTTTATTCTAGGCAGTCACAGGGCAGGAGACACAAGGTCAGTATTTGGGCTTTGGTCAACGTGCCTCTCTCACCTACCCTCTGAAGAATTCTAGGAGGCAGAGTGTATTTCTCATGCTCTGAAAATTTACCTCTCTAATACATGTTTAGTACTTAATCAGTTTGGCCTTCAGTTATCATCTGAAACTACATTTAAGCCTGGCCAGCAAAGTGTGCCTGAAACCACCGTTTCTTGGCTATTATCATTAAAGTAGATGGTGGAACTGCATTGAAAAGCATTTCCTTTGCCTCCAGAAAAGCAAACCCTGCTCTCTTCTTGCTTATGTAATTGAAGGTATTACAGCTTTAATAAAGGACTGGAAGTCAATTCACTTAAAGTTTTTATTTTGAAATAATTATATAAATATTGTATTGAAAGTTATATAAATAAGTTTTACATTCACAAAATGCAAAAAAAAATAGAGTACCTTTTCCACAGCTTCTCCCAATTGTGATATCTCATATACATATTGTACAATATCAAAATCAGGAAATTTGACATTGGTACATTTCTGCAGACCTTATTAAGTTGTCACCATTTTTTTTAATGTGTATTTGTTTTTATGTATGTAGTTCTATGCAGTTTTATCCAGGTACAGATTCATGTAACTACTACTAAAATCAAGATACAGAACTCTTCCATCACCACAAAAGAATTCCCTCACTCCCTAGGAATACCTCTTTGTATTTTGACCCCTCTTTGTACCCTAGCAAGCACTGTTCTCTATCTGAATTTCTAATAAAGCTCTTCCTGGCAGTGCTATTAACAACCAGTGGTATAACAATTAAATGTGCTGTCTAGTCTCCCCTTCACTTTTTTTTTTACTTTGACAGCTACGTTGTATTGTATGAACACACATATAGAGACTTAGGTGATTCTTTTTTCCCTTTATTTTTTTTCATTTGGGTTCTAGCCAGTTTCTGTCTAAATTACTAACTTCAAAGAAAGCCTTATGAATTCCTATACCCCTGCTTTCAGCATAGAGTTAAAAATAAATTTTCATGAAGTTCCTTTTTTTTCTTTAAGACTACTTGATTCAGTTTCTATTTTCAAGAATATACTTTAGGGAGCCTTGCTTTTATGGTTTTCTATGAATGTTATTTCGTTTAAAAACAATAAAGACTAGATAAGGAGTTGGAGGTAGGGGTGCGATATTTTTTCCTTTTTTTTTTTTTTAAATGAAAGCTGCTGACCCTGTTCTGGTTCTAGTTTTACTGATTTATCATAAAATTGAAAATTTCCCATTAGGACAATGTCTTCTTGCCTGTTTAGGTTTAAAACAGACTGAACAGTGAAATCTCAATCTTGGGTCACAAAAGAGTAAAGGTCAGTAGAAACTCTTCATTTAGAAATTCTTTCTTTTCACATTTTTCAGATGTGGACAGGACATCAACCCTCAAAGATTAGCCTGGGTCTGGTTTCTTGTACTGGAAAAATGGTTCTCCCAGGAAAAGGTAAGCAGATTTGTATTTCAGATTTTTTCCTGAGGCCAGGACTGAGAACTTGGAAGTAGCTAAAGATTTCCTTTTCATCTGTTACTTCCTTTATTATGAGGTTTGTCATATTCCCTTCTCAGTATCGACAGTAAGAATGGCATAAATTTTTATTGCTGTCTCCTTACCTAAATTTATTCATTCATTTACTAACATACATTGGCATATAATACCATTTAAGGTGATATCATTTTGTTAAATACCATTGTGAGTCTTGTGCCTGAACAGAACTTTGCAAAACCAAGTGAAAATGGCAAAATAGCAAATAAAAGTATGAATCTCATAATACTCCAGTATGGAGAATGGGCTGAGCTGAAACCTGGTTGTTCTTCCAAAAATCTCATTTTAATTAGTCCAGTACAGTGAATACTTACAGATTTAAACCTCATTGATTAAGAGTTTAATAATCCACATGAATTAAACTAAAAGTTACCAAATATAAAAACAGTCAGCAAATTAATAGTGGAAGAAAACTTACAACAAAGTGCTTTTTAAAAAAAGGTTGCCATTAAAAGCCTTTTTAGAAGTATGTGATAATTATCAGAAGTTGATATCCATTAGAGGAATTTCTCTGAGACAATTTTGTATTAAACCTCAGACTTCAAGATTTAAGTGAGGAACCTCTGACCCAGAAGAGAAGTGACTAGCCCAGGGACACACAATAAAGTTAGTTGGAAGAACTAAGGCTAGAACCAAGATCTTCTCACTTTGAGTCCCTAGTCTGCTAGTTTTTCCACCTCAACATTATTTGAGGTAGAACTTAAACCATAAATTCTGTTCTGTAAATGTCTATAATTCAGCCTAATTTTCTTCTTTACTCCCTTCTGTCATCAGAATTAATTTTGCCTCCAGTTCCAGTTTTGCTTGATACTTCACATAGCTGTTAAAAAATAACAGAAATTCCTAATCTAAATGTACCTCATATCGAGGTTTTTGGCAGTGTCTTAAAAAAAAAAAAAAAAAAAAGACCAAAAAAATGACAAAAAGGCTAGTAGGAGAGGGAAGAAAGAGAAGCAAAATTTTTAGATAACCCCAGGATGATTGAGTTAGCTCTAGTTTCAGATCTAAAAGGGAAAACTTGAATTAAAATCTTCAAAGAGAAAAAGAAAAACTGTCTGTTGTTACTGACTAAAAGTTTTTCCAGTCCAAACATGGAATTTGTCAAACCAGAGGAACTTTCCCCTCACTGAAAGGTATTTGCCTACTTCGTGGCTGCCTTTTTTTTTTTTTTTAAGATTGATTTCTTTATTTTAGAGACAGCGGTGGGGGTGGGCAGAGAGAGGGAGAAAGAGAATCCTAAACAGGCTCCACATGGAGGCCCTGAGATCATGACCTGAGCCAAAATCAAGAGTTGAATGCTTAATCGAGTGAGCCCCCAGGTGCCCCATTCATGGCTGCCTTGTTGCTTATTTTCTGTACAGTTGCTCAACCAGACCAGGTGGTTGATTTCACTTCCATGGCTCCTTACCACAAACTAAGAGTTGTTCTTGTTTTTCCCAATATCAAAGACCATTTAGTCTTCAGGCTTCCGTGCCTCAGTTATTTAAACAGTTGTGGGAATGTTTTAAACTTTAAGCAAGGACCCCAGAGACTTAACTCTTAAAAGGACTAAGATTGCAACTCTTACAAGCACTTAGAGTAGTTCCACAAGGCCAGTTGCTAATCCAGAGTGGCCTTCATCTTTTAGGGGACTTGCTAGCTGCCTCTTTTTCCAATCTCCCAACTTCTGCCAAAAGCTTCCTTTTTATTTTTTTTAAGATTTTATTTGACAGAGCACAAGCAGAGGGAGAGAGAGGGAGAAGCTGGCTCCCCGCTGAGCATGGGGGACTCAATCCCAGGACCCTGGGATCATGACCTGGGCCGAAGGCAGCCGCCTAACTGACTGAGCCACCCAGGCATCCCCAAAAGCTTCCTTTTTAATTATAAGTTGAAACAGTGATTCCATTTTCCCTTTTCTTCATCCTCTTTTGCCTTCTGCCTTTTTATCTTGCAGTGATTTATCTCTACATGTGGAAGCATGTGTGCAAAGATTTAACTGCAGAGATGTTCACTGCCATGCTGCTTCTAATAAAGGAAAACTGGAAACAACTCCCATGTCCACAGTACAGGACTGGCTAATCTATTTGTAAAACACTATGCCACTATTAAAATTATGTAGTAAATGAACTTTTGGTGACATGGAGGGATGTTCATACTCTGCTACGTGAAAAAACACTTTAGAGAACTATGCATTTGGGATGCATGAATAGAAATGATCTGGATGCCCTTGGACCACAGTATTAATAGAAGCTGTCTTTCAGTGGGAAGATTTGGGGGTTGTAGGTGTGTGTTTTCACTTGCCTATTTCTGTGTTCTAATTTTTTTACATTGAACATGCTTTGCTTTGATAGTAAGATCTGTGCTTAGAAACATGGAACAAATTCTTCCCTGTTTTAGAAATGTTAGTCATTTATGACCCCGCACATGCATAAAGCAGTTTCACCAGTAACATAATTACAAACTAAGGAGTCTTTAGGATTCTAGATTAAAGTCCTAATATCTTAACCAGACTTTGTTCTTTATCAGGGGCCTGCTGTCTGGACATCTTATCTATTCCTTCCTCTTAGTCCTTAGTTGAAGCATTTAACTTTTAGCTTTCCAGCATGAATTTTCTCCACTGACTTCTAATCACTAGCATTGTATAAGCACTCAGTTGGCATAGGTGCATTAGGCAAGGATGTGGTAAGAAGAAATAGGATTTTGTACCGAGAACATAGTAGATCGTGTTAGCCTCTGATATAGTGAATGGCACATGAATGGAGAAAGTGGGCTCTTGTGTTCTAACTCCCCCTCCCCCCCCACACGCACACAGTCTTGCAGGTGCTTCTTGCTTGAGATAGGAGACCTTTCAATAAAATATGATCCCTGGAACCTTTAATCAGCCATGTGATTTACAGGTGTCTTTAAAGCAGTGGTAGGGTGCCTGGGTACCTCAATCAGGTAAGCATTGGACTCTTGATCTCAGCTCAGGTCTTGATCTCAGGGTCGTGAGTTCAAGCCCTGCATTGAAAATAAATAAAATTTTAAAAAATTAATAAAAAATAAAATAAATAAAGTAGTGTTTGTTAGGATTAGTCCTAGATTTTACTCTTATTTGTATTTGTGTCTGGAGAAGGGGAAACTATAATTTTAGTTTTAAGAACCAGGTGAAGGGAAGTTATTGTGAAACAAGCAGGTCCAGGAAGAGCCAGGGGCTCTCTCTTTCCTTCCATCAGTCTTCTCTGATAGCATGTCTCATTAACAAATATTTGGTAGATCACTTTTTCTTTTTCATGCTTGAAATAATTAAAAAATACTTCCTAACCATTTCATCGTTAGTAAAATATATGCTCAAGTCACAGGTTTGTTTGATTTAGAGATTAAATGAAATTTTTTTAAATGTGTGAGAATATGACACACAGTATCTGGCACATAATAACCATTAGATCCCTTCCTCTTTTGTTTTCCAACTTATAATGAATACCAAAAACCAGGGTTTGGACCAAAAGAGGATCAAGTGGGCCGTACCCTCCCAGGCTTACTCATAAGTGGGTGTTTGGACACTGGAAGGGAGATTCTTGGAAAAAGACTTCATGTGAATGTCTTTAATTAGCCGGTGGCCAGGTCATGAAGAAAATCAGTACCAACCCTCAGAGCATATCTTAGGCACTTAAGTACAGATATAGTTAAGACATAGTTCGAATCTGCCCCCAGAAGGTTGTGAGGATTATCACATTCAGTGCACCTGTTACAGAAGAGGTATTCAACAAATACTATTTCCTTTCTCCCTTTATATTCTCTGTGATACAGTGGTGAATGTATGCATCCAAGTTTAGCTGTTTTTGTTTATAAAGAAAAGTATCTCAGGGTGCCAGGGTGGCACAGTCAGTTCAGCATCCGCCTCTTGGTTTCAGCTCAGTTCATGATCTCATGGGTCGTGAGATCGAGCTCCATGTTAGGTTGTGAGCTTAGCGGGGAGTCTGAAGATTCTCTCCCTCTGCCCCTCTTCCTCCTTGCATGCACTCTCTCAAATAAATAAATCCTTAAAAAAAAAAAAGTATCTCAAACATATCCAGGAATTTAGTGGTTAAAGGTACTTTATCTTAGAGCAACAGCAGGAATAAAACTAACTGGAGAGAAATACTTTCTTATTATTTGTTAACTAAAGCATATGCCTAATCTCTATCCTTCTTACGATTCTTCTAGAAATTACTCCCAAGTGTTTTCCGGAGAAAGCTTGAGTTTCTGTTATTATCAGAAGATCTCCAGCGTGATATTCCAGAGGACATCCTCAAGGTGAGAGAGGGCTTGGGAGCCATCTGCCCAGGGTTACAGTCACTCAACAAGCTCAACTTCTCCGCATGAGGTTGGCTATGTTCTCAGACCAGACCAGGCTAGGTGGAGCTTCCTCTGAGGAGAGTTCAGAATTATAATAAACTTGGGGCGCCTGGGTGGCTCAGTTGGTTGGGCGACTGCCTTCAGCTCAGGTCATGATCCTGGAGTCCCGGGATCGAGTCCTGCATCGGGCTCCCTGCTCGGCGGGGAGTCTGCTTCTCCCTCTGACCCTCCTCCGTCTCATGCTCTCTGTCTCTCATTCTCTCTCTCTCAAATAAATAAAATAAAATAAAATAAAATAAAATAAAGAATTATAATAAACTTAACCTGATTTTAGAATTCTTAGAGTTGGATTATCTAGAAGTTCTAAGTATAACTGGGGATTGAAGTTTTTTTCATTCCACGTAAAAGGAAGACTTAACTTAGATTTAAGCTTAGTATTTGAATTTTTCACCACTGTATCACAGAGAATATAAAGGGAGAAAGGAAATAGTATTTGTTGAATACCTCTTCTGTAACAGGTGCATTGAATGTGATAATCCTCACAACAACCTTCTGGGGGCAGAAGTCTTAACTACATCTGTACTTAAGTGCCTAAAGTATGCTATGAGGGTTGGTACTGATTTTCTTCATGACCTGGCCACCGGCTAATTAAAGACATATTAACAATAGGATTTAAGATAGGGACTTTTCACTTGTATTAGGTCAAGACCCTGTGACCATCTTGGAGGCAGTTAATGAAGAAGCATCCCTGAGCACTGTCCATAGGCATGGTGCTAAAGCATGGGAAATCACCTACTTCCCCATCCTCTTTTCTCCCTCTACCCCAACTCTGCAAACAAATTATAGGCTATAGAGCTTCTTGCCTTCCAAGGCTTACCATCTAGTCAGGGAGAAAAGACAAATACACACTTGCCACAGTTATGGATTAAACCAGATGGTACTAATTTTGAGTACTTTCAAAGCCCAATAAAGAGGGAGAGTCGTGTGGGTTGGAGGTGTTGGGGAAGGTTTTCAAGGATGAGGAATGGGCTATACCTCAAAGGATGGCTAGGATTTAGAGCAGAGGTTAAAAAATAGTGTGTAATATTCTCTGAAAGTTGAATTTAAATGCCATGGGAGTAGGCATCATGTCTCATGCCCATTTGTTACCTGCTTGGTCTTTGAAGTTGCAGCCCCTGATTTAGATCCACAGTGCACATTTTGGAGGCAGTGAGGGGGGCCTAGCTTGAGAATGGAGCCCTTGGGCAGTTGAGTTCTCTCTTTGCCTCCATCTCTTCATTTGTAAAATGAGGATAATAGTAGTGTCTTCCTCTTAAGGTTGTTGTAAGGGTTAATTAATTTTTCTATGTAAAGGCCTTAGCATGAAGTAACTACTACGAAGTGTTTGCTGCTGCTACTGTTATATACACACTCATACTGAAAAGAGGAAAACATCAAGCATATAAGTGATAACATCCTAGACATGCTCACCGTGGATCCCTTGCTTCATCCTCTGTTTAGGAGTTATACGAAGCCTTGGCACAAGATACAGGAAGCCCTGTGCTTGATGGAAATCAGAGGCAGGAGAGCTGGACCCCTCGGCTCAGCTCGGAAGCTGTCTCTGTGCTCTGGGATCTTCTGAGGCAGGCTCCCCAGCCAGCACAGGCCCTGCTGGAACTCCTGCTTAGCAAGGACGATGCCACTGGCCTCTGTGGCTGGTCTCTGCAGAAGGCACTGGTGGACCTCATTCGAAGGGCACTTGGAGCTGTGCAGGGCCCCACCGCTGGGCCCGCTGGTATAGTTGATGCCATCTATGGAGCCCTGCAGAGTCTACGTTGCCCTGCAGAGCCATTCGGGGTTGAGCTGCGTCTCCTGTGTGAGGAACTACTGGAGGCCTGCAGGGCTGAAGGGAGTCCCCTGCGGGAGGAGCAGGTGCTCAGCTGCCTGCTACACAAGGCTGGACGGAGCCTGGTATCCCTGTACGGCCATACCTATGCAGAGAAGGCCACAGAAAAGCCAGTGAAGGCCATACCCTCGGGAAAAGGTGTGTTCCCTTTGCTGCTTCTCCTTGCATGTTAGTAATTCCACTGTGTCCAAACTCTGAAGTTCCTCTAGGCTGGTGCCTTCCAAGTTGCTCAGGAAATCTAGTGGAGAGGCTAAGCAAAAATGGTAAGGTATTCTTTCATAGAAGTACAAATTTTGTAGTCCAAGATGGAATGATGGAAAAAATAATAAAGTAATAGCAATACCTGGAAAGAGCTTTTCAGAAGCTACTAAGAGAAGTAAAAGTGCCTTTAAGATACAAGTGTAGAAGGGCGCCTGGGTGGCTCAGTCGGTTAAGCGTCTGCCTTCGGCTCAGGTCATGATCCCAGGGTTCTGGGATCAAGACCCGCATCAGGCTCCCTGCTCCACGGGAAGTCTGTTTCTCCCTCTCCCTCTGCCTGCCATTCTGCCTACCTGTATCTCTCTGTTAAATAAATAAAATCTTCTAAAAAAAAAAAAAAAAAAAAGATCAAGTGTAGAAAACCTGGCTTAACTTTTTAAAAGAGTGAACTCTCACATCTGTTGATTTTTTGAATGGGCCTTAGCTTAGGAAAGAAGATCTCCCTGTTCCCCAGTAACCTTGTCTGGTTTGATTTTTTTAGTATCCCCCGAACATCTAGATCCTGAGCAGGCAATGCTAGCCCTGTTCTCCAATCCTGACCCAACCCAGGCTTGGAAATCAGCCTATTTCTACTGCCTGAGCAACAGCAAGCATTTCCTCGAGCAGATCCTGGTAAATTAAACTTATTCATTCTCCATCACAGAAGTACCCAGGGATTTTCTATAGGCTTTTTCATTTCTCATTTCTCTCTGACTCATTTATCCAACACAAAGCAGTCTAATTAGTGGTGAGTCATTTGGTGTGTCCATCCCGCAGTCCTAGGGGAAAAAAGGTCCTGAGAACCATTATCATTCATAATTAGAACTGCTCTCATTTTATATATGCCCTTTGGCAGGAACTAAGATGTTAGATACATATAAGCTTTCTGGACGGTGTGCGGAAGAAAAGACAGTGGCAGCAATATGTTGCGTAGCTGACGGGGGACTTTAATGACTCTAACCTCCGTCCCGACCACAACTGAGCTTTAATTTAAGTCAACAGATATTTATTAACCTTATCCTGTGTGCCATGTACTGTGCTAGGAGCTGGGGTTACAACAGAAGTCAGTCCCTGCCTTCAGAGAGCTTACAGTCTAGTGTTTCTGTGAACATTTTGCACTCAACTGGCCACTCCTGTCGTTATCCGACATCTCCCTGCTTTACTAAAAAGCTTCCTACCCTAACAAGCCGCAGGTCCACCTAACTGTCTACAGCAGCCTCCATTGGCTTGCAGGTGACGGCACTAGCTCTGCTGAAAGAGGAAGACTTCCCAAGTCTTGGCTGCCTACTAGACAGAGAATTCAGGCCTCTCAGTCGACTGCTTGTGCTCCTGGGCTGGACGCACTGCCAGAGCCTAGCATCAGCCAAGAGGCTGCTCCAGACACTCCACGGGGTCCAGGTAACTCTCGCTCTGCAGGGTGAGCTGCTCCAGAAGTAAGTTGCTGTGGGGCTTCGAGGTGAGGCAGAATGCAGGGTCCTGAAGTCGGTCACAGTCTGACACCAGGTGCCTCAGCCACATCTCTTTCTTCTCCCATATCAACACAGGACCAAGGCTGTGACAAGCTCCTCAGGGATGCCTGTGATGGGCTGTGGGCTCACCTCGAGGTCCTGGAGTGGTGTGTACAGCAGAGCAGGTACAGGCCTGTGTAGCCAGCCCCCTTCCCACCCCTGGGCACACTTGACCCCATGCTCCACGCATGTGCCATTTCAGGCCACCTTCCACATAGATATTTGAGTCGACAGCATTGACCTGCAACTAATAATCATTCCAGCTATTAAACCAGGAAAGGAACATAAATGATGATCATCTTTGCCATGGCCGTAAGGTTATACCTAGAGAATAATTTGAGGATGACAGTGATAAATGGAACAAAAGCTCGCATTTCCTGAGCACTTTCTATATGCCAGACATTGCTGTGAGCCCTTTCAGTGGATGATTTCACTTAAGCCTCAAAATAATTCTGTGAGATAGGTGCCAATATTGTCCTCATTGTGAAGGTGGGACAGCTTAAGCCCAGAGGAGTTAAATCACATGCCTAAAGTGACACAGCTAGTAAATGTCCATATTCTTAGTCATATCTTATCCTGGATCACAGATTTATGCAACAACTGCCTTTTGCACTGTGTACAAGGCTGTGCTTCCCCAATAACTTAGCCTTAGGTCTTCCCCAGATTCGGGTTCGTGTTTTGTTTTTCACCCACTTCACTGGCACTTCCTGAGTAGAGTAGGCAGAAGCGGGGGGTGGGGAGGGTGCTGTTTACTCAAATCAGAGAACTTAGCCAGGAAGAGTATGGAAATTGGGAAACCTAATCTGGGCCCTTCCTAGGTCCTTTCTAGACAAGTAGAGCTGACTTGATGGATGTACTTTCCTAATGGTAAACAAGTGCTCTGCTCTATCCCAAACCAACTAGAAGTTGGTGTTTAGGGAAGTGAAACCTATAGTGTCATGGGCCAGAGAGAAAAGAACAAGAGGGAATCGAGATGGGTTTTTCAGAGTCAGATATAAACGGACTCTCTTCCAACCTCTCAATTTTGCCTTTCAGCAACCCCATACCAAAGAGAGATCTCTTGGGTCATTTACATGGTGGAGACAGCCACTCCGTGCTCTACTCTCTCCATCACCTTACCAACCTTCCAGCCCTAAGGGAGGAAGATGTTCTCAAGCTCTTACAGAAGGCACCAGCCAAGGACCCCCAGCAAGAGCATGGTGAGTTGGCAAGGAATGACTTGGGCAAGATTCCCTCTTAGGACAATCCTGCACCAGTTTCTTTCAGCACAAGATTTATGTAGATTTGATCTGTCAAGGTGGGTGGTCCAACAGGTGCCCACTAGATTATCACTGTTTGCCCCAATCAGATTATGGGTTGTAGGGACACTCCTCTCCTTTCTTGGTGAGGTATAGGGAATCCTATGAGAAGAGGCCCATAGGAACTTTCATCCTCCTGGAACTTTCTCAGGAACCACTCATATACCTTTATCCCAATGAAGCAGAATTAGGACCTGCCCTCTGAATTTGCAGCATTGTCATGGGCAGTGTTTATGCAAGTTTTTGGTGAGTCTTCCCATGCTACATAAGCTTCTTCCTAGCACATTCTGTGTTTCCTTTCCCTCCCATCTCTCCTTCATAATCTACTAAATAAAGAAGTTTAGAAGAAAGACTTGCCTAAAACAATAACAAAGCCTTGTTTTAACCTTGGATCTGTGCTTATAACTCAGCTCACTGTTAACAAGCTTCTTTTTGCTTTCAAAAATCACATCATAGTACAGTCAGAACACAGGCCAGGGACACTTAGCTTAGAGAGAAACAAATGTTTTCATATGGCAATAGATGTTTCTCAACCTAGATACTGTTTTGATTTATGTATTAAAAGAACCTACTACTAACTGGAAAACCAGTGTTACTACATTCTATATATATATTTTTTTTTTAATTCTTATGTTAATCCCCATACATTTTATATTTTTTTCTGGAAAAGTAGGGAATTTGTTTACCAGATCTCCTAAAGGAACTAGAATTCCCTGTTTTCTACATACAAGTACGAAAGGCTTCCAGAGAAGTATTTTAAATCAAATCCCTGGTGACCCCCAGGACACACGTGGAACTTGACTTGGAAAAGACAGAATAAGAGCAATAATAGGGCTGGGATTAAGGTGACACAAGAGAGGCATCTGGGGTACGAAATTTAAGGAGTCACTCACTCTCAAGGTCACACAAGTGTTTGCAAGTCCTGACCCTGATCAGTAATGCCGTGCAGAGGCCAGGGGCATAGAAAAATATTGGTCTTGTTTTTCATATTACCTTGACCTTGGTAAAGCTGAGGCTACTTTCTAAAAGAAGTAATCACGAGGAAGTCTATACATAAACGGGTTTATTGCAACGTAATAGTAGCAAAGCAGCCCTAACTACTGCGTGTCCTGCCCGAAAGGAATTCCTAGGGAAGGGATTCATTCAGTAGAACTATATGCAGCCATCAGAAATTTAGTCCATGGAGAAATATAATCAAATGCTTATACTGTAAAAAATACTTAAGAAATAGGAAAATTAAATAGTATATAAAATGTCATTACACTCAACTTAAATACATACTCACATATATATATGCCAAACTGTCAAAGACATTAAACCAGAATGTAACAATTATTGTATTTAGCTGGTAGGATCATGGGTAATATTTCTTTACTTCTTTTTTGCTTTGTTACATTTAGTGCTTCTTTTTTTTTTTTTTTTTTTTTGGAGCAGGTTGTCCCTTTTTTTTAATGCAACAGATTTCTGTATATTTTATATCATGCAACTTTATTGAATTCATTTATCAGTTCTAGTAGGTTTTTGGTGGAATCTATGGTTTTCTATATATAGTATCATATCATCTGCAAATAGTGGAAGTTTTACTTTTTCTTTACCAACTTGGATACCTTTTATTTTTTTTTATTGTATGATTGCTGTGGCTAGGACTTCCAGTACTGTGTTGAATAAAAGTGATAAGAGTGGACATCCTTGTCTTGTTCCTGATCTTAGAGTAAAAGCTTTCAGTTTTTCACCATTAAGTATGATGTTAGCTGTGGGTTTTTCATATATGGACTTTATTATGTTGAGGTATGCTCTCTCTAAACTTACTTTGTTGAGTTTTTATCATAAATGGATGTTGTACTTTGTCAAATGCTTTTTCTACATCTGTTGAGATGATAATATGGTTTTTATCCTTTCTCTTGTTAATGTGATGTATCACGTTGATTGATTTATGAGTATTGAATCACCGTTGCATCCCTGGAATAAATCCCCCTTAATCATGGTGAATACATTTTTTTAATGTATTGTTTTTTTTGGTTTGCTATTTTTTTTGAGATTTTATTTATTTATTTATATGAGAGAGAGAGAGCACAGAGAAAGAGTGAGAGGCAGAAGCAGGACTCCCTGCTGAGCAGAGAGGCCAATGTGGGGCTCGATCTCAGGACCCTGAGATCATGACCTGAGCCAAAGGCAGACGCTTAACCAACTGAGCCACCCAGGCACCCCTCAGTTTGCTATTTTCTTGAGGATTTTTGCATCTATGTTCAGCAGAGATACTGGCCTATAATTTTCTTTTTTGTGATATCTTTATCTGGTTTTGGTATAAGGGTAATGCTGGCCTCATAGAATGAACTTGGAAGCTTTTCTTCATTTTCGATTTTTTGGAATAGTTTGAGAAGAATAGGTATTATTAACTCTTCTTTAAATGTTTTGTGGAATTCACCTATGAAGTCCTCTGGTCCTGGACTTCTGTTTTATGATTATTGATTCAGTTCTATTGCTAGTAATGAGACTGTTCAAATTTTCTGTTTCTTCCTGATTTAGTTTTGGAAAATTGTATGTTTCTAGGAATTTATCCATTTCTTCTAGGTTTTCCAATTTGTTGGCATATAATTTTTCATAATCTCTCATAATTCTTTGTATTTCTGTGGTGTCAGTTATTTCTTCTCTTTCATTTCTGGTTTTATTTATTTGAATACTTTCTCTCTCTCTCTCTCTCTCTCTTTTTTTTTTAATGAGTCTGGCTAAAATTTTATCAATTTTGTTGATCTTTTCAAAGCACCAGCTCCTGGTTTCATTGATCTGTTCTATTGTTTTTTTAGTCTCTATTTCAATTATCTCTGCTTTAATCTTTATTATTTTCTTCCTTTTACTGGCTTTGGGCTTTGTTCTTTTTTTCTAACTCCTATAAGTATAAGGTTGTTTATTTGAGATATTTCCTGTTTCTTGAGGTAGGCCTGTATTGCTGTAATCTCTCTTAAAACAGGTTTTTCTGCATCCCAAAGATTTTGGACTATTGTGTTTTCATTTTCATTTGTCTCCATGTTTTATTTCCTCTTTGATTTCTTGGTTGACCTATTCATTGTTTAGTAGCATGTTACTTAGCCTCCATGTATTTGTGTTCTTTCCAGATTTTACCTTGTGATTGATTTCTAGTTTCATACAGTTGTGTTCAGAAAAGGTGCATGATACAATTTCAGTGTTTTTGAATTTATTGAGAATTGTTTGGTGACCTAACATGTGATTTATTCTGGAGAATTTTCCATGTGCACTTGAAAAGAGTATTCTGCTGCTTTGGGATTAATGTTCTGAATATATCTGTTAGATCCATTTGTTCCAATGTGTCATTCAGAGCCACTGTTTCCTTATTGATTTTGTGTCCAGTGATCTATACACTGATGTGAGGTGTTAAATCCCCTATTGTTATTGTATTATTGTCGATTCCTTCCTTTATGTCTATTAATAGTTGCTTTATATATTTAGGCACTCCCATGATAGGTGCATAAATATTTACAATTATTCTCTTGTTGGATTGTTCCCTATATCATTATGTAATGCCTTTCTTTGTCTTTTGTTACAGTCTTTGTTTTAAAGTCTGTTTTGTCTGATATAAATATTGCTACCCCAGCTTTCTTTTCACTTTTATTTGGAAGGTAAATGTTTTTCCATCTCTTCATTTTCAATCTGCAGATGTCTTTAGGTCTGAAATGAGTCTCTTGTAAGCGGCATATAGATGGCTTAAGCAGGCTATATTTTGCTATGGAAGGAATTAAGATCAGATTAAAATGTTAGAGACCCTTTAAAAATTACAGTGCCCTCCTCTCTCCTGACTATCAAAAAAAATTCTAATGAGAAATTATTAAACAAGTACAAGGAATTTCAACTGAGTTTGTGTTTTTTCCCTTGATGTCTGCTTCAGTGCTTTCTTAAAAATATTAAATGTTTGTAATTTTTGTTGCCTTTGCTCTCATTATTCAGTCTAAATGCATTTTAAGCCTAGCTCCTGGATAATGTGGCACTAGGTAGACTAAATATTAACTTGACATTCTAATTTTTTTTAAAAAAAGGAAAACAGGTACTTTAAGAAATATGAGGGAAAGACTTGACAAATAGCCATGAGGGCCGTAGTGAACAGCCAGGTAGAATGGAGGTGGGTGGGAAAAGGAAACAGGGGCTATACGTTGATGCTCAATGGAAGCTGGGGCGCAGCCAGGGCGCAGGTCAAACTGACAGCAAGCAGAAGTCGGAGCCTGAAGAGCAGTGTGTCTTTGCCTCGGCCATACTTGCAGCCCCTGCTGGAGAGCCCCGACTCTGAAGTTCTGCCCGTTTCTCCACAATTCAGATTCAGCTGAAGCCACAGTCCCTGAGCACCTGAGCCAGTGTCAGAACCTGACGCTCTACCAGAGCTTCTGTGCCATGAAGTATGCCATCTATGCCCTCTGTGTGAACTCACACCAGCACTCCCAGTGCCAGGAATGCAGAGACAGTCCCTCAGAGGACCCGGCCTTGGCTGCAGAGCCAGCAAATGATCCTCTCTCCTCCCCAGGTACAGACTTCTCCCTGCCACCCCATCCCTGACATTAGCTGGTAACAGCCTCTCCCAGAGAGTTCTTCATGGGATTGGGAGGTGGCCTTGGTTTTATTACGCCCAGGAATAATTTCATCCATTTGTCAGCCTCCATGAATCAGAACGACATGGAGAAGACATTGCCTAAGTTCTAACGGAGTTTGATCACTTAGTGCGGTGTTTTCCAAATGCTTCTTTTTTAACTACAACCCACAGTGAAAATAGCATTTCTCATCATACTCCTGTTTGCACTTAGGTATATAATTTGCGTGATACATACGTGTGTGTGTGTGTGTGTGTGTGTATAAGAGATACATAAACTAAGTTTTAGGAAACAATACTTAATGCTTCCAAATAGAGCACCCTCTCAATTATTTTTCTGTTCTTTTTTTTTTTTTAAAGATTTTATTTATTTATTTGAGAGAAAGAATGAGACAGAGAGAGAGAGCACGAGATGGGGGAGGGTCAGAGGGAGAAGCAGGCTCCCCGCCGAGCAGGGAGCCCGATGTGGGACTCGATCCCGGGACTCCAGGATCATGACCTGAGCCGAAGGCAGTCGCTTAACCAACTGAGCCACCCAGGCGCCCCCTATTTTATTTTTTTAATGTAGCTCTCTGAGTCAGTGTCATGGGTCACAGCCTACATTATGGAAGAACCTTGTGTTTTATCCTTTCTTTTTTCTTAATAATTTATAATTCCTTAACTTGCCTTCTGTGACTAGGGGTCAGTTATCTCTCCCATGTGGCTTTGGAATAGACCTTCACCTGTGAGCATGGTCATTTCTGACCAGTGAGTATTTCTGAAAGATCTAGGTAGCTCATAATCACATTTAGTGTAACAGTGAATGAAAATAGAATTGAGGAATAAGGAGTCTCCATGCTGCCTTCATTCCAGGAACTGAAATATGAAGTGCTTGTCAGAGATAAGGAATAGTATTTGTTTTGTTTTGTTTTGTTTTTTAAACTTTTTCTAAAAATTTTTTCCTTTGTTTTAAATTTAATTAACATATAATGTATTGGTTTCAGAGTGATTCATCAGTGTTATGTAACACCCAGTGCTCATTACATCACGTGCCCTCCTTAGTGTCCATCACCCAGTTACCCCTTCTCCCCTGCACCCTCCCCTCCAGCAACCCTCAGTTTGTTTCCTATCATTAAGAGTCTGTCGTGGTTTGTCTCCCTCTCAGATTTCATCTTGTTTTATATTTTTTCCTCTTCCCCTATGATGTTGAGGAATAATACTTAAAAGCAGAAACAAAATAATGAGTGTTCAGTAAGCTATACTCTTGATTGAGGTAACAAAATCTTTCTGCAAATCATGAAGACATGGCTAAATAGTCTCTTATTCTTCTGCCTATAACCACTTCCCTTAGTCATTAAAAAATAAATGAGTGAAAGTTGTGAGAATGAGTCTGGCAAGTAGTGTTTCTAATGTTTACATTTTCTCTCTTCTCTTTCTCTGGCCTCTTCTCTTATACATGTTTCTTTAGGTGCTTCAGATCTCTTCTCGACATACCTAGCCAGATGTCAACAGTATCTGTGCAGTATTCCTGACTCTTTATGCCTGGAACTCCTAGAAAACATCTTCTCATTGCTCCTCATCACCTCTGCCGATCTTCACCCAGAGCCTCACTTGCCCGAGGACTATGCTGAGGATGATGACATTGAGGGGAAGGGCCTGTTGGGTTTGAGGTCACCCTCTGAGAGCCCTCAGCACATAGCACAACCTGAGAGGAAGTCAGAACGGGGTTGCCAGGGAGTCCCCAGGAGCCTTGCTTATACAATCCCAAGCTGTCTGAAGACAGAGCCAAAAGACAGTTCCCCAGGGCCCCATGGGCACAGCTTTTTGGACCTAAAGCACTTTACTAGTGGTATCAGTGGGTTTCTGGCTGATGAATTTGCAATAGGGGCCTTCCTCAGCCTTCTCCAGGAGCAGCTGGATAGACTCAGCAGCCACAATCCCCCTGAGAAGCCAAAGCTGCTAGAAGGCCAGAGCTGCTCGGGAAGCAGAGATGGATCTCAGAGCCGCCTGCACCGGTTTTCCAAGGTTCTCTCTGAGGCCCAGTGGAGATACAAGGTGGTAACAAGCAACCAGGGCTCAGGTGAGAGGAGACAGAGCTGGTGGGTCCCAAAAGTGAGGAAGGGAAAAAAATCCCAGGAATGTGGGAGAGAGCGAGGAGTTATGTGGGAGTCACACCTTAGCTCAGGGCATTATCACCATAGCAACCGGTGTCAGAAACCTGTCTCGGAGCCAGTCCAGATCTTCCCCTACCTATTATCCCAACAGGTGGGTCAAATCAAAATTGAACACTCCCATATGACCCATAGTTTGCTGTTTCAGAGGAGCAGCCTTCCCGAAGATACCAGCCCATTGCCACAGGGCATCCAAGTCTCCGCCGGGGGCGTCGGCCAAGAAGGAGCCGGCCAGGTAATCTGAAGAGTTCTCCCCAGTCCTTATTCCGATGCATCAGGCAAGTGGTATGCTGCCACTTGTCTAGTATTCTTTAAAATAAAACACATGGTCCAAACGAACAAACACACACAGGGGATCTAAGATTATCCTAATCCCACTCCCCCAAGGTAGCCTTGCTAATAGTTTCCTACCAGAAATTCTCATGCAATATAAGCATATGTCGCATTTTATATATCCGGATGCATCATACTATATTTAGAACTGTATATATTGAGAACTGTGATTTTGTTTTTTCACTTATAATCTTTTATATATACAGATGTATCATACTATATATTGAGAACTTACTTTTTTTTCTCTTATAATTTAAAGGCTCCTTAACATTTCCATTGTTATATATACCCTTTTGTGGACATTTAAATTGTTTATGTTTTTTACTATTATAAACAATGCTATAGTAAACATACATACATATATACATACATGTCTGTGTGAATATAGCTATAGACTAAGTCCCTAGCAGTAGAATAGCAAGGTCGAAGATATATGGATATAAAATATGGGTATTACCAAATTGCCTTAAAAAAGAGGTGGACCGGGATGCCTGGGTGGCTCAGTCAGTTAAGCATCTGACTTTTGATTTCAGCTCAGGTCATGATCTCAGGGTCCTGAGATCGAGCCCCAAGTCATACTCTGTGCTGGGCCTGGAGCCTGCTGAAGATTCTCTCTCTCCCTCTCCCCCTGCCCCTACCGCTACACCTCCAGCACCACCAATACCCCCTACGCCCACCCCCCTAGCACTTCAGAAAGCAGAAAGCTTTTCCTCCAGGGCTTTAAATACCATGGTCTTTGCCAGACTGGGTCTTATACTTGGTTCCCTGCCTTTTCAAGTATGAGGACACCTTTTTCTATGTCAGAAAGTTTTGTGGCCCTCTTTGCACCCTACCACTTTCTGCTCATATTTTATTTTTAATTTTTCAGAATATTGACAGTGCTTAGTAAGCAGATGGGGGTGGCTGACCCCTACAAGTAACTTGAAAGCTGGGGCTCTGAGACCCACAGGTTGGAAACCGCTACTACTCATATGAGTGTGGGGGCCATTTTAAGCCCACCCTTCACCTTTGGTCTATAGAAACGTGTTTGCTGTAGAAGGAGTGGCAGCAGTAATAGTTACCCATTACCCTTTCGCTCTTAATACCCTTGGCTTCAAGCTGACTTCTTACTTTCCACCCTATCTGGAGTTGAGGGTTGATTCTCTCTCTTCTTCCTAATTCCTTTAGATGGCCGGGCCAGAAGTTCCAATCCATCCCTGGAAAGTACAAGTAGTGAGCTGAGCACGAGTACTTCAGGTATGGGGGTCCCAACCAGTTGTCAACTACAAGCAGCTTTGCCCTTATATAGAGTTGCCCTACACCATAGGATAAAATCCCGGACTGAACAGTTTATGCCTGTGTTCAAGAAGTTTGGTTCTAAGAGATACAAGCTTCCAGTTATAAATAAGTCCTGGGGCTATAATACACAGTGTGGTGACTATAGTTAACAGTACAATATTGTATATTTGAAAGTAGCTAAGAGAGTATATCTTAAAAATTCTATCATAAGAAAAAAAATTTGTAACTAGGTATAATGAATGATGGATGTTAACTAAACATATTGGGATGATCATTTCATTATATATACATAAATCATTATGTTGTTCAGCTAACACTAATACTAAATGTTATATGTCAGTTATATCTCAATTTGGAAAAAAAAAAAAAAAGGTTGGTTCTGCAGATGGCCAAACAGATTTCAGCAGGGAAAGGGGGAAGGGTTGTCTCACCATCATGGAGTTACCCATCAGCAGAGAGAAACAGGTGAATAACCCAAAAATGTCGCTTAAGTCTTGTATTCAAAGATAGTAGCATAGGTTTGCCCTTCAATTGAGGAAAAATTAAGCCCCCCTTACAGAACTTTTAGAGGAGGACCTTGAAGATAAGAGTTTGGTGGGAGGTGCCAGCAGTATAGTTTTTCCTCAATTTCTATTGCTTCCTTGGCCCCCACAGAGGGAAGTCTGAATGCTACATCTGGAAGGAATGAGCTGGATGTCCGGTTGCAGCCCCAATCTCAAAGTTCACTCATCCCCATGATGTTCTCCCCACCTGAGTCACTGCTGGCATCCTGCATCCTCCGGGGGAACTTTGCAGAAGCCCACCAGGTAAGGAGAGCACCTGTGTGGCAGGTGTTAGCCACCAGGCCATGCCTTGTCCTAGTAAAGAATACTAAGGCAGCCTGTAGCTGTCTGGGCCCTGCTGGGCCTCAGGTAAAGCTAGGTGTATGTGCAGCCAGAGCCTCAGGAGCACCCGAGGGGCCACATCCAGCAGGAGCAATGGGGAAATTTCCATGTTCAAGGCCCATTCCTCAGCATTGTGAATTTCAAGATTCATTCTGGAGATTTAAGCTATTGAATAATTTCTTAACAGAAACAGTGTTTTAACAAGATAAAATATTTAGCCACAGTTCCACCATTGCAAAACAGTGAAATATTTTTGTGTCTTTCCTTGTACTCCTTCTGTGAACACATATGTTTTTATATAGTTAAAAATCATGATGCAAACAATTTTTAATAATAACTAGAATGCTAATTCATTATACAAGAAGTATAGGGGACTACCAAACTAGAATGTTCATCATGTTATATAGGAAAAAGCACAAGAAATAGAAGTCAGAAAGACTCTTACCCTCTCTGAAATTCCATATCCTCACTTGAAAATTGCAGTGAAATGTAGTACCTGCTTGTCCTACCTCATGGGAATGTTAAGAGGATATGTACAAGCTATGAGAAATGCAGGAATCCTCTACTAAAAATTGCTTAAATTTAATGGCATAAAAACCTACTCTTCTAGTTTTTAAAACTCTCTTGGTATTTTTATCACACTTGTGCTGATCCCTTAACACATAGGTCAGAATTTTTCTTTCATTTGAGTTCAGTTGTTCAGGAATAAATTGAGGAGAAATCTGGGTGGTGGAAGAATCTTTGTCCAACTTCCTCTGATCATTTTGGATCCCAAACTTAAATGATAATGATGATTCTGACCCTCTGTGGGAGAACAGGACCCTTGGCAACCTTTTTACACCCAAATCCAGAGAGGAATTCAGCTGAGTCCACCCTCCCCCCACTCCAAGGCTTTATTCCTAAAATCCTCACCTCCTCTTCTTTTCCTGGGACCTTGATCTTCTTTTCTTTTTTTTCTTTCTTTTTTTTTTCTTTTTTAAAGATTTTATTTATTTATTTAACAGAGAGAGAGGGAACACAAGCAGGGGGCATGGGAGAGGGAGAGGCAGGCTTCCCGCTGAGCAGGGAGCCCGATGCGGGGCTCGATCCCAGGACCCTGAGATCATGACCTGAGCCGAAGGCAGCCTTAATGACTGAGCCACCCAGGCACCCCCCCCCTTTTTTTTTTTAAGATTTTTTCTTTTCTTTTTTTTTTTAAATAAAAATCCCTATTTTCTTAACCTGGTTATAGAATAAGTCATGAGTATTACAAGAAAATACCAAAAAATATTAACAAGTATTAACCCTATTGTCCAGAACAGCCAATATTAAAGGTTAAGTATATTTTGCCAATATTTTTCCAAGTTATGAATGACTTCTATATAGCCAGAATTATTTTGAATCTAAAACCTTATTTAGTGCCTTTTTTTGCATTTGCTTTGTAATTGGTTTTAGTGACCTCACAGTAGTCTGATCGAGTAGGTACATTTGACCATTCCCCTGCTACTCAACATTAGATTCTTTTCAACCTTGTAGATTATCTTGGGCATTAAGTCTTTTGAATTATTTCCTTAAGAAAGTTTCTCATAAACATTACTAAGTCAAAAAATAAAAACATTTTTAAAGCTTTGTAGATTGTCTTTCAAAAAAAATTGTGGCAGTTCATCCTACCACCACTCCATGAGGGTTTATTTTTACTTTGTCATTGTGATAGATGCAAAGTGGTATTAGTGTTACTTAAATTCCCTGGATTACTAGTAAGGGAAAACATTTTTCATCTCTATATTAGTCATACGTAATTAGTCATATGCATTTTTTCTTGGAAACTATTTACATCTTTTGCCTATTTTCTTTTGGGGCCGTGGTGGCTTTCTTGCTGACTTTTATGAGTTATTTCTATGTTTGATCTATTCTTCTAACATTAGGTGATCTCACAAGCCTCCAAAGCAGATGTCTCAGGGCCATAGTCTAATGCTAGGCAAGATCTCATGTCTCTAATTCCCTAACTCAGCAGACCCAGCACAACGCCCAGTCCTCCTCCTCCTGTGACAGGTGGTGTTCATGTTCAACCTGAAGTCCTCGCCCAGCTCGGGGGAACTGATGTTCATGGAGCGCTACCAGGAGGTGATCCAGGAGCTGTCCCGGGTAGAGCACAAGATTGAAAACCAGAACTCAGATGGCGGTAGCAGCACCATTCGAAGAACAGGCAGTGGCCGTTCCACGCTACAGGCCATTGGCAGCGCTGCAGCTGCAGGTGCCACCACAGGTGGTGAGGTAGCTGGGGGAGGAGGGGGCCGGGGGAACAGCCACCCAAATCATAGGTTCCTCATGCAGGTGAGCAAAAATCCAGAGCAGGACACTTGCCTTGAAGAATAGCAGTCTTGACACATGCAGAGTCCATTTCTAGCTGTGCCCAACTTCCCTGGCCCCGGTGGTCCCATCCCAGCCACTTGAGCTACTCCATTCAGCTTGTCCTGTGGGATTTAAACTGGAGGGTGTGAACGCTGTGTCCCCCATGTGTTTTGATGGCCACTAGCTTGGGCTTTGGGGAAATGGTTGGGAGTTTATTTCCTTCCTATGTAATTATTCTGGGATAAAGCATATCGCTTCACTTTTCTGTAAAGTGAAAAAGTTGTGTATAACACTGATGGCTTAGGATTCACAGGTGTTAATGCCCAACATTGGCTGCACTGCAGAAGCTCATCCTTTCATGATTTCTTGAAAGTGGAATCCTGCCCCACATTTCTATATCTCTTACTGGTCTAGGCTCCACATATCGAGTATCATCACACATTGCTCTTTCTACATTCTCCCAGAAGTTTTCTATACCTCTTCAAAAGAATATCTGCACATCTTTTTTGTTTGTAATATAAATGGGTTCTTAACAATTAAGTCCTGTTTTCTACCTTTTTTTTTTTTTAAGTACTATGTTTTAGAGATTTAGTGATTAGTACATACAAATACACCTCATTCTTTCTCAACCTACCTTTAGATCCCATTGGGAAGAAGCCCCTGATCATCTTGACCATTTTGAGTTTCTCTGGGTCTGCCTTTCCATAACATTGTTTTGAGGCCATAAAGCAGGCTGTAATGATGGTGCTAATATGTACAGAAGATACCTGGTGCAGAAGGATCGCAAACATTATTTTTTTTAAGTAACTACTTTTCAAAATAAAAGTGGTAGTGAGAATCATGTTAACCTCTTGCTTTTTACTCCACTGCTGGGTGTCCAGGGATGGTATTTTACTCCATCTCTGATGTGACTGACAAGCTACTCAGTACCTCTGGAGAACCCATCCCCACGCTCCAGGAGGACTTTTGGATAAGCAATACCCTGGTGGAGGCCACTGCTCCCCTGAGAGAGGTTCTGGAAGACCTCAGTCCCCCTGCCATGGCTGCATTTGACCTCGCTTGCTCTCAGTGCCAGCTCTGGAAAACCTGCAAGCAGCTCTTGGAAACAGCCGAACGACGTCTGAACATTAGCCTTGAGAGCCGGGGTGAGTGTGCTTCTTTAGCTTTATTCCTTCATCCTCAAATGAAGGGATGGGTTTCTGAGATGCCTTGATAAGTTATAATAAGAAGAAAATGCTTACTAGGGAAGGAAGGGACAGGGAGAAAGGAGTACTAGTTAATTTCCTCATGTCCAATCTGGTGGTTTAAATATAATCTGAGACTCTTATCTTCTTACTAGACTTGGCAATCTACAATCATTTAGGGAAATTCTTTTCTGGTTTATAGATAAATTCAAGGAAGAAATACATATTCAAAAATTGTATAAATGGAAATTGTGCCTGTAGACTGCATGCCCCTGCCAGAGCGAACCCCACTTAACCGAAAACCTAGAATAGTCTTGAATTTGTAAACCCGGCATAAGGGAATATTTTATGGATCACACTAGAGGGAGGATTGTATCTTGAGGTTAATAGTGTCCCAGAACGTGTATGTGGAATTCTTGGAGGAATCTGGTATATGAAGGTAGAGGAATGTGAAGAAAGAATTACGAAAAGTTCCACTCCACCCATCCTTGATACACACACCAAACATTGGAAACAGCGCACCTCTCTCAGCAATATGGAGAGAGGAATGGTGAATAGGTTATGATAGGATAGCCCCTCCTAGGCTCAATGATGCGTTAGGAGAAGTTACAGAACTCAGCATATAGTCAGACTCACGGCTAAAATTTATTTCAGCAAAAAGATATGCAGCAAAATCAGCCAAGGGAAAAGGCTAATGGGATAAAGTCTGAAGGAAACCAGGCACAGCTTCCAAGAGTCTTCTCCCTGTGGAGTCACACAGGGGTGTGCTTAATTCCTCCAGCAGTAGTTGTGACAAGTGTGTACAAGGATGCTCGTCAGAGACTCAGTGCCCAAGGCTTTTATGGGGAGGCCATCTCTGCCCACCATGTACCAAAATTCTAGACTCTCAAAAGGGAAGCAGGTGTTCAGCATAAACCACATTGTACACAGTTTAGGCACAGGGGGCCACTCTCATCACTTACGGCATGTTTTGTATCAATGTCAGAAACCATTTACCAGTCAGGTTTGCAGCTGCCAACCAGTGGCAACCTGGCAAGCGAGCCTTTCTAAGGATAGCAGTCACAGGCCTGCTGTGGTACCTCTTTTCTGCACACCTCTACAAATCACTTCTGAGCTTTTGGTTAAAATGTCCTTTAATGGGGGCGCCTGGGTGGCTCAGTTGTTAAGCATCTGCCTTCGGCTCAGGTCATGATCCCAGGGTCCTGGGATTGAGCCCCGCATTGGGCTCCTTGCTTAGCGGGAAGCCTGCTTCTCCCTCTCCCACTCCCCTTGCTTGTGTTCCCTCTCTCGCTGTGTCTCTCTCTCAAATAAAGAAATAAAATCTTTAAAAAAAAAAAAAAAGTCCTTTAATGTTTACATAGTCATAAAGTATACTGTGGCATATGCAGTGATGTTTTTATCACACAATTTCCCTCCCCCTCATCTAGAATTCATATTTGAAGATGAAAGGAGATATTATTCAGATTGAATGGCTGAATAGCCAAAATGGCTTCATGTCAATCAGTTAGGAATTAATTTAGTACCTATTGTGTTTCCAGATTATCTGAAGTATAGGGGGTACAGGAGAGATATAAGGAATAATCTTTGTCCATAAAGTTGTTCGTAGTCTAGTCAGGGTGTCAAGATGCCACTTTAAGCAAAGAGAGAAAACAAATATGATCCCAGCTCACGTTCTCAGCTGAGGACACAACCAGGGCAAATTCACAAGAAGTGATTGGCTTGGGACAGCAGTTCCATAGGAGTGCCAGAGATTCTGGGTCTGCTGCTATTGGCAGTGGAGGCATCATGCCGGAGCTAGCTCTGGAACCTCGGGCACAGAATAAGCCAGGTTAAGCTGGTGTCACCCAAAACGGCAAAGCATACATTTCCTCCTTAACATTGAAGATGATAAAATTTTACAAGTAACTACAGGACTGAGTATCAGTCTTTGAACATGCCTGATTTTTTCTGCATTCCCTCTTCCTTCAATCCTTTTCCAGGTCGACGGCTAGACCACATCCTCCTCAATGCAGATGGCATTCGAGGTTTTCCAGTTGTTCTTCAACAGATCAGTAAGATCCTCAATTATTCCCTTACGTCAGCTGGACAAACTAAATCAGGTGAGCTGCTTTTCTCCCTTTTTGTCTTTGCTCCTGAACTTGGAACATTAGGTCAGCATCAGAGTTCACTTTTTCTCATTTGCTTTCCACAGAGAGTGTAGAAGAAAAAGGACTGGGCCCTCCACGGTGCAGCATTGCTGAGCTGCTTCAGATGTGCTGGCCCAGCCTCACCGAGGACTGTGTGGCCAGCCATGCCACCCTCTCGCAGCAGCTGGATCAGGTCCTCCAGTCGCTGAGAGAGGCACTACAACTGCCAGGTACAGGCCGACTGCGTGGCAGCAGATGAGGGCTGACCTGGGGAGAGGAAACAACCGAGAGTGAAGGAGCACTTGAGAGCAGAGGCTGAGGATTCCGGAACTGGGCTCTTGTGGCCCCCTCGTTAGCCAGGGCATGTCTCAAAGCTAACTCCATGTGTTTCCCCACCACTCAAGTGAAGGGATGCTTAATGCTCCATTAGCTGTTACATCTTTCTGATTCTTAATGAGGGATACATCCAGAAGGTACTTAGTAAATATTGAACAACCTTCCCTAAAAGATTACTGTGCTCTTCATAAAGCCATTCCACCCCAGAGACACTGGGGTAAAAATAGGACTATCCACCGTGATATTTCCAGACTCAAAGCTCTTCCTGCCTGAGAATCACTTGTACAGGCAACCAACGTAGGATTTTATAGTTACCTTATAAGTGTAGCACCTAAGCTGAAGGAGGCCCCATTGATCCAAAGCTGGAAGCACAGACTAAAGCCTCCATCCCTTCTCCTGTCATAACTCCTTCCAGAGCCCAGGAGTACTCCACTCTCCTCGCTGGTGGAGCAGGCAGCCCAGAAAGCTCCAGATGCAGAGGCCCACCCTGTGCACATCCAGACTCAGCTCCTCCAAAAGAACTTGGGCAAACAGACCCCAGCAGGCAGCAGACACACCGACTACATGGGCACCTTTTTCAGTTACTGCAGCACCATGGCTGCAGTTCTCCTTCGGAGCTTGAGCTCTGAGCCTGGTGAGTAGCAAGAAAGAGGAGATGGAGTCATGACTGGCCCAGTGTTTAGAGCAGGGAAGAAGAAAGGTGCACAATTAAAGAGGTTCTGGGTACCGGGGCACCTGCGTGGCTCAGTTGGTTGGGTGTCTGGCTCTTGGTTTAGGCTCAGGTCATGATTGAGGGTTGTGAGATCTAGCCCTGCATCGGGCTTCTCACTGGGCATGGATCCTGCTTGAGAGTCTCTCCCTCTGTCCCAGCTCCCCTTCTCTCTAAAAAAAAAAAAGAGAGAGAGAGGTTCTGGGTACAGCAATAGCCAAGAACACTAGATTTCCAGAATCCTCTCTTACTCATCTCTGTGTTTTATTCATCCTTGTCTCCCCACTGCCTAGTACAGCTGTACAGCACATGGGAGTACTTGATAAATTTTGATTGCATTAATGACAAAAAGTACCTCTCTCAGACCATCATGGATTGAGAACCAGAGAGGATCAAGTCTCTGATATGAGGGCAGGTTCTTACTTGAGTCCACAGAGCGAGTATTGCGTACACTTTAGTCATGTTGAAGAGAGCAGGATGAGCTATTTGTGGCTAGACCTACCCACTAAAGTCTGTCTGTGGTTGGAAGTCTTTAGAGCATAGTAAGGTGTAAACTTGCAGTTGGGGTCATGTCGAGAATACCCTTTACATAGAAAGTATCAACAGAAGGGCTCTCAATGTAGTCTTTTTTTTTTTCCCTAAGTTGTGATTTGTTTTTGTTTTTGTTTTTGTTTTTTGAGAGAGAGAGAGAGAGCAGAGTAAGAGAGAGAATGAGCGGGGGGGGGTGGGGGCTCAGAGGGAGAGGGAGAAGCAGACCTCCCGCTGAGCGGGGAGCCTGATGCAGGGCTCAATCCCAGGACCCGGAGATCATAACCTGAGCCGAAGGCACACACTTAACCAACTGAGCCACCAGGTGCCCCTCAATGTAGTCTTCATTTTGACATTACTCTTTTTTATTAATTCTGGGAAACAGGTCTCTGAGCTGTTACAGTCAGTGGTGAAAACAAAAGTCACTTTATCTTTGCAGATCACTTGGAGGTCAAGGTAGGAAATCCATTTGTTCTCCTGCAACAGAGCTCTTCCCAACTTGTGTCACACCTCCTGCTTGAGCAACAAGTTCCCCCAGACAGGTAGGAGCTACTCTGTGGGAGTTAAGCCTTCCTAACTATTTCGTTTCATTAAGGAATGCCAGGGCTCAGTGGGGTTGTGCCTGAATTCAGTACAGAGAGTGGGGATTTCTTCCAGACTTTTCCCTTAATTTGCATTTATTCTTACACAGCTACATTAAAATTCAATTTCAGTTCACCTCATGTCTTTCTGTTTTGCCACCTCTCGCAACATTTATATTACAAGCATAAAATTAAAGGGTGAATCTTCATTTATGAAAAAGCAGAAGTCCAAAAATTGGATAACTCATTAGTTGGCTACACTATAGGAAAACAAGCATTCTCATAGATTGCTGGTGGGATATAAATTGGTACAGCCCCTGTGGGACGACCATTTGTCCCTATTTATTAAAAAAAAAAAAAAAAACTTGTATACCCTTTGACCTAGCAATCCACATTGGGGAATTTATCCTGTGGCTTTACTGACCCGTGAAAAATTATATATATATACAGAGTCGTTTTGTTACAGCCTTATATGTAATAGTAACAGATAAGAAAAATCCACTGTTCAGTAATAGAAGACTAAAATTATGGCTCAACCCATAATGTAATACTATGTAGACGTAAATAGGAATGAGGGGGTCTCTGCAGAGGGATGTGGACAGATCTCCCAGATAGGTTATCAAGTGAAAAAGCAAGAGCAGAGCAGTGTGTCTAATAGGCTACTGTTCATGTGGGGAGAAAAGAGGGAGAGCAAGAGTAACAAAGAGGCTGCATTTACATTTCATTGTATAAACAAAGAAATTCCGAGCTTAGATAATATGCCTATGTACTCAGGTCTTGCGCATCTTCTGCTTCTCTCCCTCTAGGCTGGCAGCCCTTCTGGCCCGAGAGGGGCTCAGCCTGAGTGTGCCAAAGGTCATCGTTAACTGCTGCTGTGAGCCTCTTGCCCTTTGCTCTTCCCGGCAAAGCCAGCAAACGTCATCCCTTCTGACCCACCTGGGTGTCCTGGTCCAGCTACATACCTCCCACTGCCTGGAGGACCTCCCACTTTCTACACTGAGCTCCCCAAAGCCAACTGGGAATTCCACATTGGAGAGAAAGCCCCACTCCTCCCCAAGGGATTCATCACTCCCAGCCCTTACATCCTCTGCCTTGGGCTTCCTTAAGTCCCGCTCAAAGCTGCTGGCCACAGTGGCCTGTCTGGGGGCTTCCCAGGGGCTAAAGCTCACCAAGCCCAGCTTGTCATGGAAGGAGCTTCGTGGCCGCAGGGAGGTGCCTCTCAGTGCAGAGCAGGTAGCCCAGGAGTGTGAGCACCTCCTAGAACAGTTTCCTATGCTCAAGGCCTCCCTCCTGGCTGCCTGGGAGCCGCTACGACAGTCCACCGAGCAGGGACAGAGCCTGGCAGTGAGTCTCTGTGGCCGGGCCAGTCTCTCTACTGTCCTCCTGGGCCTACACTCTCCCAGTGCCCTAGATGTGCTCACCGAAGCCTTCGAGGAAGCCCTGGTGGCCAGAGATTGGCCCCAAGCCCTTCAGCTCACGGAAGTGTATGGGCGAGACATGGATGACTTGAGCAACATAAAAGATGCGGTCCTGAGCTGTGCCACGGCATGTGGTAAGCAGAAGGCTATGCCTCCCCCTTCACTGGTGGTAACAACATTGAGCATTCAATGAGTGTATCATCGCATTTGATCCCCACAGGAACTCTAGAGAAAGCTGCCACTGTAATCTCATCATATTAAAAGGAGACTGTGGCTCAGAGGATAGGAAACTTGCCCGGGATAAGTGGTAGAGCAGAGCTTAGAACCCCACTCTGTCTAACTTTATTGTTTTTTTTTAAGATTTTATTTATTTATTTGAGAGAGAGAGCACGAGCAGCGGGGAGGGGCAGAGGGAGAGGGAGAAGCAGACTCCCAGCTAAGCTAAGAGCCCGATGCAGTACTCAATCCCAGGACCCTGGGATCATGACCTGAGCCAAAGGCAGATGCTTGATCGACTAAGCCATCCAGGCACCCTCCATCTAACTTTAGAACAGGCACTCATAGCCAGTATCCTCAACACTGCATATCAGAATCACTAGAAAATTCTATAAACTACAAATATCTGAACCCAACCCCCCAGAAGCCCAAGATGGTATTCAGGCAAGTGTTGACCTTTGGAGACCATATAGTCTCCGTTGCAACTACTCAACTCTGCCATTATAGAATGAAAGCAGCCAGAGATGATACATAAACAAATGAGGATGGATATATTCTAATACAACTTTATATGTAAAAACAGACTGGGGGCGCCTGGTTGACTCCCTCAGTGGAGCATGCGACTCTTGATCTCGGGGTTGTGAGTTTAAGCCCCATGTTGGGTGTAGAGATTACTTAAAATCTTTAAAAAACAAACCCAAAAACAGACCATAGGCCTGTTTGACTACCCCTATTTTAAAAGCTCCCAATGAGGCAGCTCGCTCTTTCTTTTTTTTTTTTTTTTTAAAGATTTTATTTATTTATTTGCGAGAGAGAATGAGAGACAGAGAGCGCGAGAGGAAGGAGGGTCAGAGGGAGAAGCAGACTCCCCGCTGAGCAGGGAGCCCGATGCGGGACTCGATCCCGGGACTCCAGGATCATGACCTGAGCCGAAGGCAGTCGCTTAACCGACTGAGCCACCCAGGCGCCCAAGGCAGCTCTTTCTGCCCACAGGTCCTGTCCCCGTGCTTTAATAAAACCACTTTTTGCACTGGAAAAAAGTAAATAAGAGCTCCCAAAGAGCTTTCAAGGGAGTTGAGAGCAATGACCTGTAACACTCCACTGGCAGTGGGGGGAGAGGGGGGTGGCCAAGAGTTGGGCAGGCCGTAGGAAATGGCTTCTCCGGCGGGGGGTGCTTGGCTGCCCTGTGGAAAGGAGAAACTCCCTTCTGGAAAATGTAGAGAAATCCACTGACTGGCTGTGCAGTCTTAATTGCTTTGAGTCTATTTTCAGATCTGTGAAATGGGTGTAGGAAAGAAAGATCTAAGTAATAATGACAGAGGGCATGGAGGGAGTGAAACTGGTTTACCTGAAATAACTTTGGAGGAGTTCTTTGTGGCACAGAGTGGAAATTGCAGGGAAAACTAAAAGTTCCACCTACAAGCTCAGTCTGACCCAGTGCTATCTGTGCAGCACAAAATATGGAGAGCTTCATGTGTTTTCTAGCTCTTCTTTCTCCATTCCTTCCTTCTCCCTTTCTTCCTTTTTCTTCCTCTCCTTTCTCCTTTTCTCTCTTTTCAGAAAGTGTCATGACTGTGATTAAGTTTGCAAAAAGAGAAACATACAGGCATATAGCATTTGTCCTTTTCATATAATGGTTCCAAGTATAAAAATTAAAGTCAGATGGATCGTAAGGATCCTCCAAGCTCCTGTTTTATGAAATTGAACAAAGCCCTTCTCTAAGGAGTAGCCTGGACTCTTGAGCTCTTCCAGTGCCAGGCTTGCTACCTCTGGGCATCTTTTCATCTTGTAGACAAAGAAGGTTGGCAGTTCCTGTTCCCTGTGAAGGACGCATCTCTGCGAAGTCGGCTAACCCTACGGTTTGTGGACAGGTGGCCCCTGGAGTGGTGCTTGGAGATCCTGGCGTACTGCATCTCAGACACAACTGTCCAAGATGGACTAAAGCGTGAGCTACAGAGAAAGCTGGCAGAGCTGCGGATGTATCAGAAGGTATGGCTCCCAGCATCAGGAGAAAGGAAATAGGCTTCCCACTGTATTACCAACTCCAGCCTGTTCTCATGTGATGCTGGATTTTAAGAAACAGACGATCTGGGCCTGGCTTTTTTTTCTGCATCTGGCTTCTGTTTTTAGGTGAACAACAAAGAGAGACCTTATATCTATTTTCTATGTTATTTTCCTCTGGTAATTTTAAATATGTACGCATCAGACAAGGATAGTAATAACAGTCCACAAAGCCTCTTTCACATGTATACTTGAGTTTTGTGCATGTTTTATGTCTGTTATGTGTTCCTTGTTGTTCAAGAGTTCTTATAGAGCTTAATCTCTATTATGTCTTTTTTAAAGATGGTTTTAAATTTCAAGAGCCGTTTTGAAAGGCTGCGTGGAAGTGACAGTTTAAAAATGAAAGATTGTTTGGGGATGTGTGTTATATTCAAGATCAAGAGGCCCAGGGAGACAGATTTAGGTGGTATGGCTACATAGCAAGTATAAAGTTTATGCTAATTTTTCCACGTATACTTGGAACCAAACAGAGTCCAGAGACCCAGCAGAGCAAGTAAAGATAGCAGATGAGAAAGATCTTCTTTCCACTCTTCCTCAGCACTTTTCATGCGAGCTAAAATGCTTGCATGAAGGGCAATCCCACAGAGCATTCAAGCTGGAAGAATATTTTGGGTAGAGTTTTTAAGATGGAGGAGCATGGGACAAGTGACCCCAGGAGTTTGAACAAGCTATGAAGCACAGAAGCCTCTGCGAATTGCTCTCATAAGTGAAAGGCCCCAATCCTGGCCTCCCCGCTCAGCCTTTGCTCCGAGGATACCTCCTGGATATGTTCACTCACCTTTCCAGTCTTTGCCTCATTTGCTTTAATTCTTCCTCTCTCCTGGCAAGTTTTGACAGCTTGACATTGGGACAAAAACCTAGGGGTGGCCCATCCCTGGAAACTCGATGACTTGTTCGTGGAGGGGGAAGCTGCAGTGTAGTTTGATAGTTCTTCCTGTCTTTCCTTAGATTCTAGGTTTGCAGGCTACCCCAGTGTGGTGTGACTGGCAGAGCCTGAGGAACTGTTGCATTGAGGACCCATCAACTGTCATGAACATGATTCTAGAAGCAAAGGTACTATTTTCCTGAGTGGTATTCCCCTTTCTCCCCTTCTTGGAGTTGCACCTCCTTACCTGGTTGTGTAGACCCCTTTCCGCATGTCAGTGTCCACATTTTTTTGGTAACTACATCACATTTTTTTTTCTTTTTGTGTGTGTGAAATTTACCAATGTACAGAGAAGTGTAGAGAATAATACAATGGATGCGTTTGTACTATCACCCTACACGGTATATACTGAGTACAGAATGTAGAGCTACTGGTGGACTTGTTGAATCATCAGGCATGAGCATCTGCACCTTTACTGAGACATTGCAAATTGCTCTTAAGATCAGTACGTTTGTAGTTCCTGTTACTCCACATCCTTATGGCATTTGATATTGTCCAACTTCTCCCTTTGTGCCAGTAGGATGGTATCTCATGACTGTTTGAATTTACATTTCCATGATTACTAATGACCTTGAATGCCTTTTCATATATTTATTGAACATTTGAGTGCTAAATAGAATTTTATTTATTCTTTAAGGAGCCGATATACCATAGTTCAAAATGTGGTTGTGCTCATTCAGATGTTCATGCATTGAAGAAACCTTTATTGACCATGTATTATTTGCCACTGTAGTAGATGGTGGTGAAACAAAGATAACTAAGCTTAGTCCTTGACCTTGTGTGGCTCACATTTTGGGAAGAGGGGTGATATGGCACACATCCCTAGATGATTGCGATATATCAAGTGACAGAAGTAAACCCAGACTGTGGTGGGAGCACAGGCAGGGCACCTGATGTAGCCTGAGAAACAAGCATCCTGAACAAGGTGGCCCCAGGCAGAGTTGTGGGGAAGGCATTCCAGATGGCACCATATTAAAATACTCGGGCAAAGCCTCGGGAATTCCATTTTCTGAAACTTTAATCCAAGGTTCACAAATTGGGGTTGGGGAGTAGCAGACAGGGACATGGACAGAATCCATGCCCAGCATGTATGTTTGGCCCATGCAATATTGGTCTGTTGAATTTGATTTTTTCATGTTAATTTTATTGCCAACATTTTAAAATAGGGAAATTTTTTAATTTAAAAAAATTTTTTTTGGTTTTTTGAAGTTTGGCAATACTGGGTTTGCACATTCATATGGCAACGGAGCTGAGTATGCACTATCTCCTTTGTGTTTTGTTCTTTATGTTAATTCCAGCATAATTGACATTTAGTATTATATTAGTTTCATTGTACAATATACTGATTCAACAATTCTATCCATTACTCGGCACTGTCTCCTTTGGACAATCTTAGTCTTCCCCACTTCCTTAATATCTCCCCAGGGCTGACATGAAGTGTCAGTGACTTCATGTCTCCTGTTTCTTTTTTATGCTAGATCTCAGAGGAAAGTGATATCATTAATCATCAAGCTACTTTGGTATTTTCATAACTCCCTTGGCACTCTAGTCCTTTGAGTTTATGAGCCCACTTTAATCCCAGAGTGAAGTTCCCATCAGCACTTAACCAAACTTTCCTGGGGGCTTTAGCAGACTCAAGACTGCTGAGAAAAATCAGGCAAAAGCTGGATGTGTGACAAGGTCAGTGATTAAAAGGGACTGAAGCCGTGTGTGTTTCCTTCCAGGAATATGGACTGTGTGAGGAGTGGGGCTGCCTCTACCCAATTCCAAGAGAGCATTTAATCAGCCTACATCAGAAGCATCTTCTCCACCTTCTAGAAAGAGGAGATCATGAAAAGGCTCTGCAAGTAAGGCTCTGTCTCTTTCCATTTTTCTTTTGGGATAAGACAAAAAGGTCAGTCAAATCAGATGGCTTTGTTCATGCTGAATACCATGCAAAGCATTTGCAATCTCAGATCTACCGCTTCATGTCCTTCAGGAGTCCTTCTTGGCCTCAAGATGATTGTAGTCCTCTTCAGTGAAGGTACCTAGCCCTGCCTTTAATGCCTGATGGTCAGCAGGATCGAGGATTCTGCTAAACTGGTCAAAGTCATCATTTGTGAAGCTGCAGGGGTGGTGAAAGAAAAAGTGCAGAGAAGGGATTAGTCCAAAATTAATAAACCTAAATGTTCCATTCCCAAATAAAATAAGGCTGGCCTGAGTTCTTTATGGGCTTTCACCTTTCTCCTCTACCCTTCTCTTACAATAGCTCCTGCGAAGAATTCCTGATCCCACAATGTGCCTTGAGGTCACAGAGCAATCCCTTGACCAGCACCCTAGCTTGGCCGCTTCTCACTTCCTGGCCAACTACCTCACCACGCACTTCTACGGAGAACTGACTGCTGTCCGACGCCGTGAAATCCAGGCACTGTACATGGGATCCAAGGTCAGGAAAGAAGCGGGGGAGTTGGGAAGGCATGCCTGGAGGAGAGACCACTGGCCCAGCTCCCGCTTCAGAACTTAACCTTTCAATGGCTCTTCTCCCAGACATCTGTCATTCTTGGCCTATGCTATATAAAACCTTTATCCAGCAGCCCACTCCTTCATCCCTTAGGAGTTGTCATTCTCTTACTGCCTTGTCTCCAAAGTGAATTCTACATGGCCCTCTTAAGTTCTCTTTGTGGTTTCCCTGGTATCTGCTAGATCAGTGTTCTCAATGTAGACCATGTAGTAGAATCACCTGGACTTGGGGAAAAAAAAAAAAACAACTGTTGACCTTTACCCCAGATCAATTAAAACTGAATCTCTTGGGACAGGGCCTGCCTATCTTCCAAAGAGATTCTGAGGTAAGGATTTCATACTACTGCTTAATAACCTACTCTATGCTAAAAAAAAAAAAAAGAGTTAATTCTCTAGGTAATGAGGTCCTTACCTTTGATGTGTAACCTCGGAGACACTAATGGAAGAAATTACAAACTAGAAAAAGTAATCTGGAGAAGGGGGGTTTGGGGAGAAATGGGGCCCTCTGACACTGTTCTAATGATTCTGATTGGCAGTCATATCTACCACTCCATGAGTATGGAACTCGCCTCACAAATAGAACGAGTGCTGGGAGAACCATCAATATGAGCACTGACTCACTTGTTAAGAGTTCAACTACATAAAATGTTCCTAAAGAAGATGCACTCTTTTTTTTTTTTTTTTTTGATGCACTGTAACTAAATGGGGGGAATCCTTGAAAACGCAATGAGCAGAGCCAGTGGACCTATTTCAAGCCTAGTGATAATAGTCTCTAGGAGTGTAGAGACATCATTTACCTCCAGGACACTGGAGGTACTAGGTTTAGGCAGCCTACTGATATCACCTTATATTGCTCATTCTAATTAAGCCTCAGATAGACAGAATGGTGGCTTTAAGGATCAGGTAGAGTTCAACTATACCTGGAGGTGCCACCTGTGGGTCAAACCCAGTCCTCAGCCTGCTTTTGTGAATCAGGTTCTTTTGGAACATAAATTCGTATACTCATTTACATATGGCCTTTGGCTGCTTTCACACCCCACTGGCAGAGCTAAATAGTTCCCACAGAGACTTCATGGCCCATGAAGCCTAAAATACATATTATCTGACCCCTTACAGAGAAAGTTAGCCAACCTCTCACCTGAAGTACTTCTTGATTGCCACCTGAAAGATTGAAATAGGAGTTCAGCCTTGCTTCCAGAAAGACTACTAGCCAGCCCTAGTAGTTGGCCATGTGCCTTTGGTCCCTGCTCCCCTTCCCCCTCCCAGTAAGAACCTTGGATTCCTTCTGAAATGTTCTAATGATTGTTTTCTTTACTCTGTGGATCTACCCTACAAACAGGTTCTGCTGACCCTACCTGAGCCACACCGGGCCAGCTACTCCCACTTGTCCTCTAACCCCCTCCTCATGCTGGAGCAGCTACTCATGAACATGAAAGTGGATTGGGCCACTGTGGCTGTGCAGACTCTGCACCAGCTGCTGGCCGGGCAGGAGATTGGCTTCACCATGGATGACGTTGACTCACTGCTCTCCAGATATGCGGCAAAAGCCTTGGACTTCCCATACTCTCTGAGGGAGAAACGATCAGGTAACTGCCAACATCCTAATGGCGGCTCCACCTGGAGGAGGAAACACCGTACCACATCCTTAGTTATAATTTGTCTTCATTTATTATTTTGAGCTGATCAAGAATGAAAAGAATGCACTTCCATAGAGATAGCTCTTTGCTATACAGGAGACCTCTTGGCCTTGGAGGAAGTGGCAGGCTAACCAGAATTATAGTATGGTAGATTACCACTATGCAAACATAAAGGTCTGGGAAACAAAACATGCTGGGAGTGGTCTCTGTCTGGCCTTGGCGCAGTGGACTCTTATGTACCATCATTCTGTATTGAGGGCATACGCTGTTCCCAGGGTCACATCAGATACCACTAGTACGTGAGCCGAGCCTCTTCCAGAATGAAGAAAATGAAATAATTATAGGCTGATGTTCCCAGACAGCTTTTTGTTCTCTTACTCTCTACCCTCCAGGGCCATCATTTAAATGTCTTCTATTTCCCTTGGGGCATTTTTAGATTTATTTTGTAAACTTCTAACAGCTACTTCATTATTTCATGCGTCTAAACATAGTTTGCTTTTTGAGGCGTTGAAGAAGCATGCTTGCTGTTGTCTTGGAAGTACCTCCGCCAGGCTTTTTACACCTGGCAGAATCATGGGATGACAGCAAAGCAGCAGGGCTTTAAATTAAATGTCTAGCAGAGTGAGTAAAGATGCTTATGGTAGGATGATATTTTGTCAGCATTTTCCCTCTCTCCAGATTCTGTGACTCACCTCCAGGAAATCAGTCAAGTTTCAGACCTGGAGACCTTGTCTAGATCCCCGTCGGCAGAGTTTTCTGCCGCTGCTGCAGCTGTTCCTGGTAAGGACAGGTTCTGAGAGTTATCCATGGTTTAGTTCAAACTTGCCTAATTCTGACTTTCTGATTCTTTTGCCTCTTTTTTCATTTCCAGTTACGGTATTCTTGTTTTTGGTTCATTCCAGCTTTGTATATCCCAGAAAATTTAACAATAAATTCTTGTTATTTGCAGTAGTATTTCTATAAGATCTCTGCAAACACTGAATTAGCAAATACTGAACCATTGCTCGTAGGGAAAATGTGTGTGTGTGTGTGTGTGTGTGTGTGTGAGACTTAGATTGAAATTGAAATTGAAAACAATTCATCCCGGTAGATTTTATTTTATTTTACCAAAGAGAAAAAGAGGTTTAGAAGTGTTAAAGTGACTTGCCTGAGGCAAACCCATTAATGAGTGCCTAATGAGAGTTTGGGATTGAGACCCTGTCCAGCTCGCCCGAGAGCCGGAACTTCTTTCACCACCCCACACTGTCCCCTACCATCTCCATCCCCCATCACCTCTGTATGAGAACTGAAATAAGAAAGCAGAACATCACCTTGTTCATCCTCAGATGAGAACCTGCATGTCAGGTGTCTCAAATTATTCACTCTGCCCATGTCTACAAGGGCACTGCCAATACTGATTTTGAGGTTACAAGTAAATTTTGGTTGGGCAAATGCACAAATACAGACTCTGCTAATAGGGAGGATAAAGTATATTCAGTCCTCACGATCATTCTGTCACTCTGCTGCAAGTTCGTTATTTATGTCTGTTACCTACACAGGGCACAGGCTCCTTCAAGACCTCAGCCGTGTCTTGATCACTCCTTTTCACCACCCCCTTCTCCCCCAGTCCCTGGCCCCTTGCACAATGGCCTACAGTCCTCAGAGGAAGCTTCAGCAAGTGTTTGTTTTGCCAACAGTCAAGGGCACGGGATTCCAGGGGGAGATATATGGGCACTGCAAAGAGTCAGTATGTTTTTCAGTTCTCTTTTTCTGTGACCTGCCAACCTTTCTCTGCTAGGTGACAGGAAATTTCCTTAGATACCATAAAGCAAAGATGGTGGCATTTCATGGCCGTACTTTGAAAATTAGCCATGCTTTACAGTAACCAGCAGACCTGAGGGAAGGGCTCAGACTTATAGGTATACGAACAGCCTCATGCATCTGCATATGACAGCCTGAGCACCTTTGGTTTACTTTTTTTTTTTTAGCTTTTTATTGTGGACATTTTCCAATATACAAAAGTAGAATAGTATACTGAGGTCTCACATACCTATGGCCCAACTACAATAATTACCATCTCACAATGGCCATTCTTGTTCCATTATACCCTTATGCCACTACCGGGTTATTTTGAAGCAAGTGCTAGATTTCATATGATTTTGTTTATAAACATATCAGTATATATCTCTAAAAGGTAAGGATATTTACAAAACAAAACCGTAACATCATCATCATACCTAAAAACGAATGATTTCTTACTATTACCAACTATCCAGTCAGCATTCACATTTCCCCAGTTGTCTCAATTTTTTTTTAGAATTGTTTTTTCTAGAATCAAAATCTAAATAATGTCCACACATGGCATTTAGCTAAAATACCTCTCAGGTCTCTTTTAATCAATTTGGTTCCCCTACCTCTTTTTTATCTGTGGAGGAAACTAGCTCATTTGTCCTGTAGAGCTTCCCACATGCTAGATTTCACTGATGGCCACCCTGCAGTCTGGGTCTCAGTCCTCTCTATATCCAGTACACTGGTTGGTAGATCTAGAAGCTTGATTTGATTCAGGCTTAATATTTTTTGGTAAGCATATTTGATAGGTGTTTGTGTGCCTTCCATCAGGAGACACACAGTGTCCAGGTGTCTCTCTTTTTATGATGCAGTCAGCCATTAATGACCGTTAGCTGGATATATTATTACAGTAGAGGTTTGAAACATGGTGAAATTCTGATTTTCTCATTCCTTCTTCATTTATTAGCTGAACTATTGATCACCTTGTACTCTGACTTTGGCTCTGACTCCCAGGTGTCTCCACTACACATTCCCCCAGTCCAAGGGAGAGGAGCTTCCCAGAGAGTCAGCCCCCACCAGAGTTTGTCCCCCCAGCAGCACCCCCTGGCAGGCATCAGTGGGTGCCTGATGAGAGTGCGAGCATCTGCATGGTCTGCTGCAGGGAGCGCTTCACCATGGTAAGCAGCGTTGGTCTCCAGCTTTGCCTGCAAGGGAAGTGAAAGGAAACTGCCAGTTCATGAGCCCAGTGTTTATAGTCACCTCCTGTCCCCAAGAGGATATTGGTATTTTCAGAAGAACTACCAAATCCAAGACTTTGGGTTTAACTTTGACCTAACCACATGTATTTTCTGGATTCAGACAGGTGGTAGACACCCTCAGGTAGCCTTAAATTCTAAAGTCTTTGCCATTCTCATGACTAAACAGAGGCAGAGTGGCATAGCAGGAGGAGTCACCAACACCAGGAGATCTTGTTTCTAGCTCCCCTTTTGCTATAAGACAGGTGGCCTGGTAGTGGTTTTATGTACTGACTCTGGAGACAGAGGACCTGGGTTCTAATCCCAGCTCTGCCTCTTATTAGCAGTGTGACTTTTTCAGTCTCAGATGCTCACTTGTAAGCTAGGGATGATATATTGTGTGGCACGTGGAGTTATAAGGACCAGTTATGATGACAAATGTTACCACACTTAGCACCGTACTGACTGGCACATTAGCTCAGGGCTGATGAGAACAACGATAATGTGATTGCTCTGTGTCTCTTTCCCCCTTATCCCCTCATCTGCGAAGGGTGTGTAATATGTCTGTCAACCTCTTAGAGTGAAATGAGGCAGTACTAATGAAAGCATCTTGAAAAAAGGACACTTTCTCGTTGTCATCAATGCCATGAAAACGTGTGATTTGCACTGGCTGAGAAAGTCACTTCTTACACACTGTTTTTGCTGTATCTTCACACATTGCCTCTGCAGACAGGTATAACTTGTTAGGAACTATTGCAAAACTGCCCATCACTTGGGCCCCTTTGCCCACCATCTGAGACATACCTTTAAATGTCAGCTTCTTCAAGGCAAGGACTAGGTGTTCTTTCTCAGTAGAAGCCCAAACACCTGGTATTCTTAGTAAGTTACAGGTGACTAATACCAAAGATAAGTGGGTTGACAGGTAGACTCACAATTCCTACAATCTCACCTTCTCTCGCTCCCTTTTTTTTCTCTTCCCAATGACACTCATCAGTTCAACAGGCGTCATCATTGTCGCCGCTGTGGCCGGCTAGTGTGCAGTGCCTGCTCCACTAAGAAAATGGTGGTGGAAGGCTGCAGAGAGAGCCCTGCTCGTGCGTGTGATCAGTGCTATAGTTACTACAACAAAGAGTGAGTGTCCATAGCGGGGCCGCTACTTCCATTGACCTCTGCACACCCATCCTCCCCTGAGGTCGGGGGTTCTTGGAGTCTAATTGTGGAGAGCATCTCAAATCTGGAACAGTGGCAGCAAGTTTTAATTTAACAGTCACACTAAAATGCCATTAACTCTACAGCAATACGTTTGACCTTTGTCAGAGAAACTTCTAAGAGAGGAAGGAAGCAGAGCTCAAGGTTCTTACATAGTGTTCTCCCTGAAATCAGAACACTTGATTCCTGACCAAGGCCATTAATCTTAGTTTGCCTCACCAGTTGTTCAACCTCACCAGTTGTTCAGCCACTCCTGCTTCCATTGGTCTCAACTGGATTCAGAGGGTTATGTTCACACCTGCTGACTGTTCAAGCATCAGCTTGCATCAGTTCTAATCTAGCTAGTCATCCTGGCTTGTTATCCACAACTAGAAGAGCCCCCACACCTTCCTATGCAGTTTATCTAGTAACAAATTTCAGAGACTGCTTATACCTCTGGCAAGACAGATTAAGACTGTGTTTGTTGGCCTAGTGTTGCTCAATTTTTCTCACTACTTCTAGCAGCAAAGGAGGGTGAGACTAAGCCTCCTAGGCCATCTGGAAATATGAGCCAAAGCAACTCCTCAAAAGCAAATTACTTTGAATTCTTCATGTTTTGCTTCCAGATTTAAATTGATTTTACGTTCTGCTCAATAGCATTATTGAGTTTGTTTTAATATAAACATTTTTTGTCATTATTTACCATGATGATTACTGATCTCCTGGGAAGAAAGATATGCCATGCTTATATTGCAGTTTCTGTGATCCTGACATACCACTTACTTCCCTTGGGGTAGGAGACAGAAGAAATATCCATATACCATATTGCTGAGATTGGAAATGAGCAGTTAGTATTGATGGAGATCCTTTCATTCAACAGTTACTCAAAAATAATCACTTCTTCCTCAAGGAGCCCCCACTTTAGTGGGGAGACCATTAACAGACCACAGACTCATTGGATGAGTGCAGTGGTGGAGCCACACAGCTTAGCCTGATGGTCAGAAGCTTTCTGAGAGGTGTGGCAACTTGTGTGAGCATTAGAGTATGAGAAGTTAGGAAAAGAAGCCAAAACAGGCATGCCCAGAAGTGGGAGTGACAACTGCAAAAGTAGGGGCAGGGAATATGTGGGTGCTTTGAGGAAGTGTAAATAGGTAGGTGGATAGGCTGAGGTAGTAGCTGGCATACCTTGGACTTAAAAACCTGACAGGTGAGCCAGGAGGACTTGCGCCCAAAGGCTTGAAGCTTGCTCTTTGGCGGCATGGGCTGGCGTTGACCAGCAGGCTTCTCATGCAGGTGATAGACTTTGACAAGAGCCAGTGGCAAAGTGGGGAGGACTTTAATGAGTTGAGCACCAGGTCATGGATGGCAGGAGTTGCTCACAAGAGATAACCAGGCTAGGTCGTAGGGCTTTATCTGCTGAAACTGCAAATGTGAAATATTTCTACCCTGAGAAGCTGTGGAACAATTTTAAGCAGAAGCATAACATGACCAGATTTGCATTTTTACAAGCTTGCTGTAGCTATAAAGGAGGGAGTAGGTTGACAGAGACAAGGATACCAATTGGGAAGCCATTACAAAGCCTCTAGCAATAAATGATGAGGGTCCTCTCTGAGGCAGGGATGGAGAGAGAGATGGGGACATTTCAAGAGGTATTGAAGAGACGGACAGAAAATGGTCAATGATTGGCTATGGCAGGTGAGGGACAGAAAAGAGTTTGGTTGTTTCCCTGATACATCTTACTTGGGCAACAATGTATATGGCAGTGCTTTATACCAACTGCGAAACAAAGAGGAGAGGAAGGGATTCGGGCATTTCATTTTGCTTTCTCTGTTTCCAGTGTGCCAGAGGAGAGTCCAGGACAACCGGAAGGTAAGGCGGAATCATAGTCCTGTGTCTCTTTGTTTATATGTTCAAGTTGGCTCTTCTTTCAGGGTTTCACCTGCAACTGATACCCTTAATACAGCAACTCATTCCAACTTGTTGGCCAAGGAAGAAAGAAAATTCTTGGCATTTCTATCAAGCTGTTTCTCTTAAAGTTTATTGTCCTGTTAACCTACCGTACTGGCCCATTAGCTTCCAGCATTCAGAAGGCCAGCAACCAAAGAATTTGGTCCCTGACTTTGAGTAGGTTATTTCTTTTTTTTCTCCTAGATTCCCTTTCACCGCCATCCTACCTCCATATGCTCCCTCCTTCCCCCTAGGCAATCACTATTAATAGTTTGGTTCATATCCTTCCACAGAGGTTAGTTTTTAGGGTAGCCAATGAGTCAGCCCTCCATTTGAGAAGGGTGTACATTTCAGAGTTTCTTGTGTGAAGCAGTGAGGTTGTATGACACTGTAACACTCATCCCGGAACTAACTAAAAAATTAGTTTGAGGTACCTAATGAGATCTTAAGGAAATAAAAAGGACCAAGGAGAGAGAACAGGCAGGTATCTGCTTGCAGCTCACGCCAGTTTTCTGGCTGGTGTTACACTGGACTGCTGGTCAGTGACTGACACATGAATGACACTTCTCTTCTCAGCACCAGACAGCTCCAAGAGTGAAAGTCCTCCATACTCAGCCGTGGTGAGAGTCCCCAAAGCAGCTGAGGTGGAATGGATTTTGGATCTGAATGAGGAGGAAAACGAGCTGGTGCGGAGTGAATTTTACTATGAGCAGGTAATAGCAATAAAACTTGATGGTCCTTTGAGTTTCTTTACAATGTGTAGTTATGGTAAGAAATACAGAGATAGCTGAACACAGCCTGGCCTTCACATGCTTAGAGTGTAATAATGTAGGAGCTAAGACCAGTAAACCAAATGAGGCAGAAAATGAAGAGCATCTTGGAAATGTATGAGACAGATCAGGAAAGGCTTCATGGGGCACCTGGGTAGCTCAGTCAGTTAAGCATCCAACTCTTGGTTTTGGCTCAGGTCATGATCTTAGGGCTGTGAGATCTATGCCCCGCATGGAGCCTGCTTAAGATTTCTTTCTCTCCCTTTCTCCCTGCCCCTCCCCTAAAATAAATAAATAAATAATAAAAAGAAAATTAAAAAGGAAAGGCTTCATGGAAGAAGTAGCATTTAAGATGATCCTTAAAAGAGTGGTAGGAGTATGACAAGCAGAAATTTGGGGGGAGGGGGGTGTAAGGAGAGTGAGGGTAGGAGAAGGACAAAAAGTACAAAATCAGAACATCTGAGCAAAGGCACAGTGTCAAAAATTGCAGGGCATGAGTAGGGGACTGGAAACGGTTTAATCTGAAGGAACGTAGGGTGTTCATAGAGAGGTAGTAAAAGGTAGGATTGAAATGGGCAATTTATGGACAAGGCCTTGAATTCTGCAGTAGGGAAAGTGTACTTGGTCGGCATGAAGGACCATGAAAGGTTTTGGAGTGTGCTTTGGACTATTAATTCAGCAGCAGTGTGTCCAGGCTTGAAGCCGAGACTTCTCCAGTAAGGGGACTGTCAGTCCAACCAGCAATAAGGAGGACCTGCACTAGTGGGAAAAAGGAAGGAAACATGTGGACAGTCCCAAGAAGTAGGTAACACATGAACACAGCTGCCTTCTTCCCAGTATCGTGACAGAAGCTAGCAGTGCCACTTAGAACATCTGAAATCTGTTTAGTTTCACTCCTGCTTTGCCCTGGAAGTTTGGCTCCCTCCTCCAGTATATTTCAAGCCTGGTGAGCTGGGAAGAATAATTCCTGCCATCCAATGACATTTGAAGAATGCTTTGGTCCCTGAGCTCACTGTGTTTTTCTCTCTTCTTCCGCCCTGGCTAGTCCCCCAGCGCCTCCCTGTGCATTGCCATCCTGAACCTGCACCGGGACAGCATTGCCTGTGGCCACCAGCTGATCGAGCACTGCTGCAGGCTGTCCCAGGGCCTCACCAATCCCGAGGTGGATGCAGGGCTGCTCACAGACATCATGAAGCAGCTGCTCTTCAGTGCCAAGATGATGTTCGTCAAAGCCGGCCGGAGCCAGGACCTCGCTCTTTGTGACAGGTAAATGGGAGTGAGTCTTGGTTCTTTTACATGGTTATCATTTCTGTCTGGCTTCTTCTCCTGGCCCCACGATGAGTTCTCACATCACCATCCTCTCTCGGAAGATGCACTGAAAATGTTGTGCATCTCAGTTTGATGACAGTGAAATGCTGTTACCGGATCACAAGTGGTCTTCCTCTAGACAGCCTGTGTCCTCTTTCCCTTGGTAGATCCTCAAAGCAGAGTGTTCTCTAGCTCTGCCCAGTCAGAAAGAAAGTCAATACTTTGGTTAATTTGAAATTAAAATCAATTTAGGGGAGCATCTTTAGTCTCTATGGAACTTTCTGGCTTTTAAATAAAAATGTGTGCTCCCTAAATGTCCAGTGCTTAGCCTTGGACCAAATCCACAGGACCAGTCTTGACCAAATCCACAGTGTGGCCTCAGAAGTACTGGGTAACAGATCTATGAAGCGCACTGGGGACTGGTCTATCCCTGTGTCACAGATAGGAATCCTAGTCATAAAGTACAAGTATCTGTGGAAAAGGTGTCATTAGGCTCCAGAGCCCTGTACAACCTGCTCTGCCTCCAGTCATTAACTTGACAGTTGAAACTCCCAGTTCCCAGCTTATCCACCCAGATGTGTGACTCATGTTGTATGTTCTCAGCACTCAGTCCTAGCCAGATTTGGGAGCAGAGAGCATAATTTTCTTTGAAGTATAAGTGCCTCAGGCACTTGTTCAGAGTATTTGCCTGCAACTCCCAAGACAGCAGAGCGAGTGCAGTGAATCTCATCTGCAGTACTTCCTAGCTCTGTAACCTTGGACAAGTCTGTTAACTGCCCTGGGCCTCAGTTTCCTCCTCTGTAAAATGGGGATGTTAGTAATACTACTAGGGCACTTAGGATAAAATGAGAGTCTCCCTGTAAAGGGCTAAGAATTGAGCCTTTATACTCCAGAAATGCTAGTTTTATTATTTTCATTAACAAAACCGGAAGATTGAGAAAGGCAGGAGGAGGTGGGACAGAAAATGGAAGGAAGTATAAAGGAGTTAATTTCACTCTTTCTTACCAAGGAACAATAGATTCTACATCATTTTTCAAGTTAATAAATGAAGAAATGCGTGTATGTTAAAAGTTTTTCACTTTTTAAAAAATTGTTTTTATTTTTTTATTTTTTAAGATTTTATTTATTTGACAGAGACACAGTGAGAGAGGGAACAGAAGCAGGGGGAGTGGGAGAGGGAGAAGCAGGCTTCCCGCGGAGCAGGGAGCCCGATGTGGGGCTCGATCCCAGGACCCTGGGATCATAACCTGAGCCGAAGGCAGACGCTTAACGACTGAGCCACCCAGGCGCCCCTAAATTTTTTTTAAAGATTTTATTTATTGAGAGAGAGAAATTAAGAGGGAGAGGGAGAAGCAGCCCAGCTGAGCAGAGAGCCCAACCTGGGGCCCCATCCCAGGACTCTGGCATCATGACCTGAGCTGAAGGCAGACGATTAACCTACTGAGCCACCTGACACCCCAAGTAAGGTTTTTTAAAATAACTGTGAAGAGAACCAAAAATCTACCAATTTACCAGAAATGGAGAAGAGGGGAAAAGAACAAAAACCACTCCATATAGCAAAAAGTAGAGTTTAAGGCAAAAATTAAAATATATTTAAATATATTTCAAATATTAATAATGTAAATGAGATAAAATCTTATTAAAAGAAAAAAGTATTCAGATTGGGGAACAAAACAAATTTAACATCAAATCCTATACTTCTTTCAAAATCAAATATAAATGGACGAAATATCCACTCTAGACTGTTGGACAACAGAAATTAAGAAAGTGCTTACTTTGGAAGGATTCTCACCCCCAGATGCTGTGCACTTCTCTTGACAGTGTACAGCAATGGTTTCGAATTACACATTCTTTTTCCCCAATTCTGGATTCACACACCCATTCTAGAGGATTACTTCTTTTGTGCAGGTTTGCTGATGGTAGTGGATTCATCTCTCGTGTGATTTGCAAAGTATTTTTTCACTGTTTTTAACTCTTACTTCCTTCCAGTAGACATATAAATAAACAAATAAATGTTTAAAAACAGAACTCACATTACCTATTAAAAATGTATAATACAGGGACGCCTGGGTGGCTCAGTTGGTTAAGTGGCTGCCTTCGGCTCAGGTCATGATCCCAGCGTCCTGGGATCGGGTCCCACATCGGGCTCCTTGCTCAGCAGGGAGCCTGCTTCTCCCTCTGCCCGCCTCTCCCCCTGCTTGTGTTCTGTCTCTCTCTCTGACAAATAAATAAGTAAAATCTTTATAAAAAAAAAAATGTATAATACAGGGGCGCCTGGGTGGCTTAGTCGTTAAGCGCCTGCCTTCAGCTCAGGTCATGATCCCAGGGTCCTGGGATCGAGCCCCACATCAGGCTCCATGCTCAGTGGGAAGCCTGCTTCTCCCTCTCCCACTCACCCTGCTTATGTTCCCTCTCTCGCTGTGTCTCTCTCTGTCAAATAGATAAATAAAATCTTTTTAAAAAAATGTATAATACATTGTTATACCAAATTTGCTTTTACAATGTGTACTCTCCCTTACCCCGTTCCCACTAAGTTGAAAATGACTGATGTACTAAATCCCTTTCCAGGGAAATCAGCAGATAAGTCAGAATCCACAGGTTTTTTGACTAGAATATAACATATATTGCATAATGTATTTACTATGTAATATATATTGTGTAATATATATAATTATATTCAAGAACTTTGAGTGTAGGACTGTTTCAGGCAGCACTGGAGAGAGTGACCCAGTTCTCTGGGCTCTCTGTTGCTATAAGATTTTTGCAATCACCATGTGTCAGGAGTAAGATCAAAGGTGGCAGTGCTAGTGGGCTGTAGCAAGGACCTATTCTTAGCACAGGGAGTCAATGTCAAGTCCAGGAGACTAGAATCCAAGTGATTGCCCAGCAGCATCCCCAGGCAGTGGTAGTGATGTGACCTCTTTACTGGCTAGGAGTACAGGCCATGTACTCTCTCCCAAGCAAACAGGGTTCTAAAGAACCAAAAAACAAGTAATTGTGAGCATCCCTACCTTGAGTATTAATATCTAACATTTAATGAGTACCTACACAATTCTAGACTTAATCCTAAGGCCTTTTACTTGAGCTGTTTCATTTTATCCTTAAAATTCTGTTACTGTATCCATTTTGCAGATGAGTAAATTGAGGCAGAGAAGTTAACTAACTTGCCTAGGGTCATAGAGCTGCTGAGTGATGGAGTTGAATTCAGAGTCTGACTCCAGAGCCTTCTCTCACAGTGTTTATGTACCCCTCAACTCTCATTTTCACATTTCACATTGGAATTGAAATAGAAAGTTGTAAGCAGGGACGCCTGGGTGGCTCAAGCTTGAAGCAAGCCCCGCATCGGGCTCCCTGCCTCTGCCTGCTGCACCCCCTGCTTGCGCTCTTCCTCCCACTCTCGCTCGCTCTCTTCAAATAAATAAATTAATTTAATTAAATCTAAAAAAAAGAAAACTTGTAAGCAGCAACTATTTTTAGTAAGATTCTGTGGAGCCTCATTGCCTTGCCCCTTCCCTCCCTGTAGCTACATCAGCAAGGTGGATGTGCTGAATATCTTAGTTGCTGCCTCTTATCGCCACGTGCCACCTCTGGACCAGATCCTGCAGCCGGCTGCAGTAACCAGGCTAAGGAACCAGCTTTTGGAAGCTGAGTACTACCAACTGGGTGTTGAGGTAAGACGAAGACAAAGCTTACTTGTGCCCAACTGTAGTGAGTTGCCTTTGCCTACCCTTGCAAAAGGCTGTTGTCATCTCTCAGTTGCCTTCAGCCATGGGGAAGTAGCGAGGGCATAACAAGTTTGCCAGTTGGCGGTAATGGTAGGTGAGGTGATGGGGAAGGAAGATGATTGGCAATAATGGGAAAGAACAGGTCTTTGGGACTTTCAGGCCTGGATTTAGGTACTTCTCACTAAAAGGAGCAGTTTTTCTTCCAGATCTCCACAAAGACTGGCCTCGATCCCACTGGTGCGTGGCACGCTTGGGGCATGGCCTGCCTCAAGGCTGGGAACCTCACTGCTGCACGGGAGAAGTTTAGTCGCTGTCTGAAGCCTCCTTTTGACCTCAATCAGCTGAGTCATGGCTCAAGACTGGTACAGGATGTGGTTGAATACCTGGAGTCCACAGTGAGACCACTCCTATCCTTGGTAAGAACATAGCAGGGGGAGGATCAGTTCAGGGAGGAAGGCGGCCCAGGAGCAGTAATGACCTGGGAAAGGATCAGCTTCCACTCAGCGTATAGTGGCAGTCCTGGCTCAGAGCTTCCAGGTTTAGATTTCGCTCATTCCATTATACATAATTAGCTAGTAACCATATATGGTTAGATAAGTAATACAAAGTCAATTTAAAAAAAAAAAAGCAAAGACGGAAAAGTATTTTTAAAATGATAAAAATGACATTTAATCCCATATCCAGACTTAAGTAGTGTTCAAATTTTGGTGAATTTTCTGTGTTATGTTTTTGAATGAAACAGTATTATAATATGGAGAATTTTGTATCCTGCCTGTTTTTCTGCCCTTCAAACTATATTGTGAGGCTACTTCCACATCCATAAATATTCTTTGAAAGCAATATTTTCAGAGGCTGCTGAGAATTTACTGAGTTTTCTTTTTCTTTTGCACTCTCCTGTCAGCAAGATGATGATTACTTTGCTACCTTGAAAGAACTGGAAGCTACCCTTCGGACCCAGAGCCTCTCCCTGGAGGTGATTCCTGAAGGGAGGATCATGAACAACACCTCCTACCAAGAATGCCTCTTCTACCTGCACAACTATAGCACCAACCTGGCCATCATCAGCTTCTACATGAGGCACAGCTGCCTGCGAGAAGCCTTGCTCCACCTCCTCAACAAGGTGGGACACACAGACCTACCTCTCAAAGTGCAGGACCTTCGGCTGGCCCACTTAGCTTTAAGGGCCATGGGGGAAGGGGGGGTTGGTAAACCCCCTGAAACTTGACACTGTGTTGAGCTATGAGATCTCTGGCAGAGTCAGGTCAAAATGGAAAATTCTATCCATCCAAATTATGATTTGATATATGGGCAATAAGTCTTAACCTGGATCCAGATTGCCCTTCTGATTGGCGATGACAAATTTCATCCCTTCTCCCAAAACATAAAGCAGAATCAAATCGTAGTTGAGAGCATGGTCTCTGGAATTAGATGGTTGGTATAAGTGGTGTGACCTTGACCAAATTGCTTTACCTCTTGGTTTCTACACACCTCCCCACCTGCCCTGGGACTGTGTCCCACTGCGATTTAGCTGCTAATCCACCCAGAGTTGTTACAAGGGCCAGGAAACGCCCATGATCTCTATTTGGGCCCCAGATACCTAATGGAAGGAGAGTGTGCTCACCTTTTTTCTCTCTGACCTCCTCTGGCCTCCTCCCAAGGGGGCAGAGGCACCTCTGAAGTGCATTCTTTGGAGCCATTGTTAAGCAAAATCAGGATTCTGTTTCACCATGACCCTTTGGCATTCATTTTTTTTTATCAGAATGTTCTCCATGAATACTTTCTGAGGAATTGGCGGATCTTTACCAAATTTCATAGGAAATTAAAGGAGTTCAATACTTTAATTTCGATCTGCTGTCCTAATTCAAAATGGCAGCCAATGAAAGTTTACAAATGGACATATCTTCTAGGATTACTCCAAGTGAAGTCAACTGTTCACAGTCATGGTAACCATGCCCCTACAGGGTAACTACTAACCGGGTTCCAAAAATAAAGTAAGAGTTATTTTACTTAGAGTTTAACTGCTAATTTTTTCCTTTTCCTCAGTTTCCAAATGAGTTTTAGGGTAAAGCTGCTTCTCCCAAGCACAGATTGAGAGTGGAAATCAACCAGTTCTGTTTCTTCTGTTGACTAGTCCAGAGAGTTAAGCAGCTTACTTACTTATCTTGGTAGAAGCTGACAACAACATTACCCTGCTTTACATTTGTCAGATCGAGGAAGGAAGCCTTCTTTTTATCTCCTATAATCACGGTAACCCTTGAACTGAAATACCTTAATTCTCAAGCAGGTGGGAACAACAGAAAAGCACATTGTGAAAACTCCAACTGAATGGCTAGAGCCTGGAAGGTGTTCTTTTGCTAGCTTCATTCCCTGCCCTTTTCACCCCTTTTACCTGTCACACTGCCCCAGAGTGAGCTTTCTAAAACATAATACGTGTTATTTGTGTTATTCATAGTTCATGTTATCCTCCTCTCTGAAAGACCCTCAGGAGATCCCCATGGCCACAAGGTGAAGTCCAAATTCCTTAGCATGCATACAGGACCCACCAAGATCAGGCCCCCTTATTTCTCCCGTTTATTTTCACTGCAAGGCCTATATATGCCCTACATTCCAGACTTACCAAATTATTTAAATTTTCCTGATTGTACCTTGCCCTTTCTGACCTCCATGAACCTGCATGTGCTGTCCCCCGTAACCTAGAATACCCTGCCCCTCTTCGTTTTCTTGGAAAACTCCCGTTTATCCTTTCAAACCCTCTCTGTTGAGCATTCATAGAACGCACAAGCAACATTAGGCACCTCTTCCTGTATACACCACTGTATCTAGAATACAGCTCTGTTACTGCATTTATCCTATGCATTGCAACTGTTTGTTTACAACTGTGTCACCCTTTCTGGACCATATTTTACTTCTCTGTGTCTTCCGATGCCAGACCTAGAGCCAGTTATGAATGAATGAGTGAGTAGGTAAATAGATGAAATGGAAGTTTTTAACGTATTGCTCTTCTGAGAAATATCACCTTCCTATGCAGCTGATTCCCCTGCCTTTTAAAATCTGTCCTAAAACTTTTAGATTAGGTCTGGGTTTCTGAGTTAGGAACATCCAGAATCAGGAAAGGAGTCCTCACCCACCGTGGATGTTGTGAAAACTCAGAACTCCAGTTCTAAACAGCCCGTACCCAGTGCTACAAGGCCAACATGGGTATACTAACATGAGTTTATGGCCATTCTTTACCCTCCATTAGTTATTCATAGTCCAAAATCTAAATGCCCAGGTGATTTTTTTTTTCTATGACTATGGAATTCGGGGGTTTTGGTTTTGTTTTGTTTTTTTAAGATTTTTATTTATTTATTTGACAGAGACAGAGAGGGAATACAAGCAGGAGGAGTGGGAGAGGGAGAAGCAGGCTTCCCACTGAGCAGGGAGCCCAATGTGGGGCTTGATCCCAGGACCCTAGGATCATGACCTGAGCCGAGGGCAGACGCTCAGCGACTGAGCCACCCAGGCACCCCGGAATTCGGGTTTATGATACAGCGTCTCTGAACCACAGATGAGCTTCAGAAGGGAGGGGGGATTATTATGTGTGTGCACCTTCCTGAGGAGTTGGTCTATAATGTTTATCACTTACTCGTTTATCTAAGAAATACGTATTAAAAAGCCAAGGACTGCTCTGGGCACTTTGAAAAAAAAATAGACAAAAATATCTGCTCTCATAAAACTTACATTATAGCAGGGAGACAGACACTAAAGGTAAATAATATCTGTAGTATAGATGATGAGTAATAAGAAAAATAAAGCAGGGGAGAGGGCAGGGATGGATTGGGCAGTTTGAGAACAGATGCCCAGGGAAGGGGACACTCAGTAAAGGCCTAAAGGAGGTGGGGAGTGAGCCAGGCAGATTATGGAGGAAGCACAGTCCAGGCGAAGGGAGTAGCAAGGGCAAAGGCCAAGGTGACTTGAGCAGAGAAAGCTGGGAAAAGCGTAGGAGCAGATAAGGTCAGAAAGGTAATGGGCCCGATCATACGAGGGTCATATAGGGCCTTGTGGACGTTGTGAGGGCTTGGACTTTATGCTGAGTGAGGAAAACCACTGGAAGATTTTGAGCAGAGGAATAACGTGATGTGACTTATGTTTTACGAAAATCACTCAGGTTGATTGGTTGGCATTAGACAAAAAAGAGGCAGGACAGAAGGTAGTAGATGAGGGAGGAAGCTACTGCAATAATTCAGGCAAGTGGTAACGATGACTTGGCCAGGGCTGGACATTGAGGTGGTGAGAAGTGGCCAGATAGATGCAGATGCTGTGTGTATGTTGATGGTAGAGCCAGCAGAATTTGCTAATGAATTTGATATTGGGTGCTGAGGCAGGGGGGGATGGATTTGACTTAAGTTTTTGACCTGAGCAACTAGAAAAACAAAATTGCCGTCTGAGAAAGGAAAGACTACAGAAAGAAGAGGTTTGGAAGAAACAACCAGGAGTGTAGTTTTAGGTGTATTAAGTGTAGCAGACACCCAACAGGACATTTTGAGTAGGCAGTTGGATATAAGTTGGATATTTACTTCTGGAATTCAGGAGGAATGAACAAGGTGGAAACAGGGATCTAGGCATAATCAGCAAATAGATTTAAAGCCATGAGATTATGGGGCGCCTGGGTGGCTCAATCGGTTAAACGTCTGCCTTCGGCTCAGGTCATGATCCCAGGGTCCTGGGATTGAGCCCCGCATCGGGCTCCCTGCTCAGCGGGGAGTCTGCTTCTCCCTCTCCCTCTGCCTGCCACTCTGCCTACTTGTGCTCTCTATCTCTCTGTCAAATAAATAAATAAAATCTTAAAAAAAAAAAAGCCATGAGATTATATTAAATCACCAAAAGAGTGAGTACAGAAAGAAAAGAGAACAGGTTCCTCCTAAGCCCTGAGGAAATTAGGAGGAATCAGCAAAGAAGATTGAGAAGGAGTAGCTGGAGAAGTAGAAAGAAAACCTAGAAAGGGTGGTGTCCTAGAAGCCAAATAAAATTTTTCAAGGAGGAGGAAGCCATCAGCTGTAGCAAAAGCTCTTGATAGTTCAGGTGGAAAACAAGACAGATTTTTAGATGTAACAATTTAGAGGTCATTGGTGACGTAAGGGGCAGTTTCAGTGGAGTGGTGGGTGCAAAAACTAGATAAGAATGGGTTTAAAAGACAATCACAGAAGAGAAATCAGAGATGGGGAGTATAGATGACTTGGTCAAGGAGACTTTCTACTCAGCAAAGGAGAGAAGTGGAGCAGTCACTAGAGTGGGATTCTCTCATGTCTGTGACATGTAAAAAGCTAAGAAGCTAAGAAGCACCACTACAGAAGGAAGCCTAAGGTGTGAGAGTAGAAGGAAATCTAGGTGGGTCCCAGACGGTGCCAGAAGCAGGCTAAAGACTTGACTTTTTGCCTTGCCCTGTTCTAGGAGAGTCCTCCAGAAGTCTTCATAGAAGGCATTTTCCAGCCAAGCTATAAAAGTGGGAAGCTACACACTTTGGAGAACTTGCTAGAGTCCATTGATCCAACCTTAGAGAGCTGGGGAAAGTATTTGATAGCTGCCTGCCAACATTTACAGAAGAAGAACTACTACCACATTCTATACGAGCTGCAGCAGTTTATGAAGGTAATAGCCCCTTCCTGCTCTCTACCTCTGTTGATGACACCCTGCCATGCGGGGAGACTGTGCAAGATGAGGGAACAAGACTATCATTGGGTCCCTGGCCTCACTCTTAGACCAACCCTAGAGCAAATCCATGTGGCTTTCTAGCATTGTTGAATAACATTAGGATTTCCATCCCCATCCCAAAGAGGCAGACCTTAACCTTGTCAATAATAGCATTCTTCAGAATTCAAGGAACATGAAGGTGAAAAAGAGGTCTGTGGCAATTTTAAGATAAGCATGAGGCATGAATGCAGAATTCATAAGGAATGATGGAGAAGTGTTTTTAGAGAAGATGTGTGAAGGAGAGGGAATGAATGTCTCCCAATCTGTCCGAGGGTTGCAAACACTAAATCACAGAGAAATTGAACCACTCAAAGCCAAAGTGAGAGCGAAGCCAAGCTGAATGGAGAATCAGAAGTATCCTTTTTGAAGATCTCTTCTGTGGTGGAATAAAGTCCTTCCCGGGAGCTCAGCCAGTCAGTTTTTTGCTTTAGGATCCCTTGGGCTTAGGAGTAACTGATACAAAATAGCTGTGCAGCTGGTGACAGAAGTGGGTGCTGGCAACCAGGTTTCATGGGTGGAAATCAGGTCAGAATTCTCCTTACACCATACCCTCCAGTATCCCTGATCTCATTTGACCTGCATGTTCATTTTCCTCTTCTAGGACCAAGTCCGGGCCGCCATGACCTGTATCCGGTTCTTCAGTCACAAAGCGAAGACTTACACGGAACTGGGAGAGAAGCTCTCGTGGCTTCTTAAGGCCAAGGACCACCTGAAGATCTACCTCCAAGATACCTCCCGCAGCACCCGAAGGAAGAAAACCACCTTCTTCCAAAAGAAGATGACTGCAGCTGATGTATCAAGGTAGCCTGAGGCTCAAGGAACAGTTAGAGTGGGCAGAAGGGCTGGAATGGGGTGTCTGTTGGTGATGAAGCCACTCTTGTCCATTCCTGAACCCTTGAAAGAGAACCACACATCTAAAGGGAATCATTCCTGGGGCACCTGGGTGGCTCAGTCGTTAAGCATCTACCTTCGGCTCAGGTCGTGATCCCAGCGTCCTGGGATCAAGCCCCGCATTGGGCTTTGTGCTCCGAGGGGAGTTTGCTTCTCCCTCTCCCTGTGTGTGTGCACGCTCTCTCTCTGTCTCTCTCTCAAATAAATAAGTAAAGTCTTTAAAAATAAATAAATAAAGGGAATCATTCCTGAGTGACAGTGGCCAGTACAAGCCTGGAGAACCTACAGAGGAGCTCGTAGGAGAAGAGAGCGGGGGATGTATTAGGATCAGACCCCTTCCAGTAAGCAGGCAAAAGAGATCCTGCGAGATGTTGGCCTGCCCCCGTCTCCATCTTCCTCTCACGCTCCTCCCTTCTCCCTTGCTGAGCAGCGGTCATGCTGGCATCCTGGGGGCTCCTCCACACACCAAGCCCTTCCCTCCTCTCAGTCTTCAGGCTGGCTTATCCATTCACTCCCTCTGCTTACAACACAGCATCTAAAGTAAATGCTGCACCCCGCCTTTATCGCCTTTGTAGGCCCAGTCGCTAAATATTTTATGTGTTCGTTCATTATTCATCTCTCCTCTAGCCTGTGAACTCTGTGAGGGCAGGGTTTGTGTCCCTCTTGACCTCTGTTGTTGTCTGAAGCATGTAGGTGCTACATAAACACTTCCTGATTTGGGGCCTGGACTCTCTCTGGTCCCACGGAGCCTCTGGCCCCTCGGAGGCACCTCTGTCCAGGGCACCAGACCACCCTTTGTGTCTTGTTGTAACTGCTCAGAGAGTATTTTGGATCTCTTCTTCCACCATATCATTTCTTTTGCCTTTTCCAATGCCATCTTCTCGTGGTGTCTCAGTCCCCCGGCTCTAGTCACTCCTGAAGCCCCTCATGAGGCTCGACTGTGCGTCTCCTGTCATCATAGGCACATGAATACACTTCAGCTGCAGATGGAAGTGACCAGGTTCTTACATCGGTGTGAAAGTGCTGGGACCTCGCAGATCACCACCTTGCCTCTGCCAACTCTCTTTGGAAATAACCACATGAAAATGGATGTTGCCTGCAAGGTACAGTCGAATGTTTCAGACCTCTGACAGACTGTTCTTATCTTTCAGAAGTTTACCACAATTGTTATCGTCTAGTTAGTATTTCAGTTGTTCGTTTGAAGGCTGTCTTCCCACTAGAATGTGAGCCACAGAAGGCTGGGGATCAAGTCCATTTTGATTACTCTTGTATCCCTAGTGCCTGGCACTGAGTAGAGTCTCAACAAATACTTGTTGAATAAATGGCGGCCCTCTTTCTTGATAGAGGGGCTACTCCGTACTTATTGCCTCTTTAAGCACATTTCCCTCTCCTTTTCAGGTCATGCTAGGAGGGAAAAATGTGGAAGATGGTTTTGGAATTGCATTCCGTGTTCTGCAGGTATGACTTGAATCACTCAAGATGGATGGAACTGGCCACAGTTCCATGAGAGGTTATTCTTCAGAAAACTTTTACCCCAAGGGAAGCAGATACACATATACGTCACGAATGAAGTCAAGGTGGCTATTACAGAACTGTGTCAAGATTCTCGGGCACTTTGCCAGAAGCCAAGTAACCAATGACAAATTCATCAAGAGCTATCAGATAAAGACCTGAAACCGGGTTCCCCACAGCTGTTCCCCTGCACAGCCTCTGCTTGCCCTCTGAGGGGAGCATGGCTGAAGGAAGTGGCAGGGGGCTGGTGGAGGTCCTGTGCAGCAGGAAGGGCCATCAGCATCAAGAACTGCCCCTCCATCCATCCCTAGGAGTTGGCTCAAGGAGTGCCTTTCCTGTGCTTGTGGTCAGAGGACGCACGTGTGACTATGGCGCTGGAGCAGAGTCTGGAGCAGGGCACTGAAACCACAAGGGGCAGTTTCTCCAGACCACCCCCCACCACCACCCCCCGCGCTGGCCCTCCCCAGACAGTTCCACACAGATACCCTAAGGACCATCACTCTCTGGGCAAGTGGGGTCTGGAACACATTGTGTGTGTGTTGAGGATCAATGGCTTCATGAGTGATCAGACTGATTCCTTTCTATTCCACCTATTTCAGTGTTGGAAACAGCTCTCCACAGCCAGATACCCCTGGTGGACAGGCAGAGCCGCAGTTCCTCTCAGAGTCTGTCAAGGATTGTCATAGATTGGGCCTAAAGTGTTTATCTGGTAGTTTCTAGCAAAGCAGTCTTTTGGTGAATTGGTCTGTTTCCAAATACTAAGGCATCTCTTGGCCGAGCACCAAGTGTCCGTAGCAGCAAATACCAACCCCCAACATCCCTATCCTAAGACAAAGGTGGCTCATTAGAAGAACGAACTGGCCTTGGGAATTTGATTAGAATATTTTCAGAAAGTGGCATGGCATTAAGTGAGGTATACCATGTTAGATATCAAGGTTACGATGTTTATGGTTGCTTCCTGAAATGTCTGCCTCATTCCAAAGAGGAACTTTCTGCTTGTTTTTGTTTGTGTGTCATATGAGTATTTTCTATTGTGACTGCAATCAATATGGCTTATCTACACCAAGCAGAGTGGGGGCTTTTTAAATGTTGCCTTCCTTCCTACTGCCGGTGTCCCCTGCTCCCCTAAGCCCCTCATTCTGTGTTCTAGGACTTCCAGCTGGACGCCGCCGCCACCTACTGCAGAGCTGCCCGGCAGTTGGTGGAGAGGGAGAAATACAGCGAAATACAGCAACTGCTCAAGTGTGTCAGTGAGTCAGGCATGGCGGCCAAGAGTGATGGGGACACCATCCTCCTCAACTGCTTGGAAGCATTCAAGAGAATTCCACCCCAGGTACGCTCACTCCTGTACCTCTTGGTTCCTCCATCTATTTCATTGTCTTCACATCCCCCTTCTTGGTTTTTCTGTTCCCCACGATACATTCATGATGTATTGAAACTCCGCAAGATCCCTTTATCTTTCTGACTCCTCTGTACTAATGGTCTCAGCCAAATCAACCCTTCCCTGGAAAGAAAATTCGTGCGTATAACCTCTATCCCTGGCAGGTGTCCCTCAATATCCACTGTCTGACATGTGCACCTGTGGGCAGACCCATTTGAGCTTCTCCCTGTGATTGTAGAGGAGGTCAGGGTGGGTCTGCAGATAGTCTTTGAGCCTGTTGCCTATGAAATTGTCCCCCTGTGGCTTCTTCGTGGGGTAAACAGAGCCACATCCATGTGTGAAGGCCAAGGACAGTCCCCTCGGGAGCTGTTATTTCTCCTCAAATTCCCAAACCTAGTGTTAATCATTAGATTTCCTTTGGTGTTCTTATAGCCAAAGTTGAGTTTAAAAAGAGAACAGGCAGGCTGAGGCTGGATTGGGCCTCAGCTCCCACGCTGGGGACTCCTCTTCCTCCTCTTACGACCGCTATTTCTGTTCTGCACAGGAGCTAGAGGGCCTGATTCAGGCGATACACAGTGATGACAACAAGGTGAGTAGAACTTTCTCCAAACCCTGTTCGTGTCATGAGCAGCACCTGGAGCCAACCTTTTCACCTTTATCCCTTGCTCCCCACAACAGTTCCATTCAACCTGTATCTCCACTTCTTTGTCATCCGGAAGTGGAGCAGGGGCCCAGGCAGGGGTGCAGAGGGAGAAGGTAGATGGAGCACACACAAACATTGACTTCATGAGCCTTTGTCTTCCCACTTCTTCACCTCCATTTTCATGCAGAGCTTCTCTCAGAGACCCCTAGGAAATCCTTCACTTCCATCTTCAGGTTGACTGACTGAATGAGGTTCTCAGAGTGGGTAGGCATTTCTTTATCCTGGAGGGAAAAGGGTACCTTGTACCGGAAGGAAAAAACCCTACCCAGCCCTTGAGCAACAAAGAGCCATTCGTGTCTCATTCTCCAAGCAGGCTAATTCCCTGCGGTCAGTGAGCTCTTAGGAAATCAGTGCTCTGCAAGGAGTACCAGGCAGAATAGAAGTACTCCCAGCTGCTCCTACTTGTGCCTAACCACACGCTCATCCACCCGCCATCTGGAGGAAGGCCCACAGGCCAGCAGAAGCATAGTAAAACCAAGCCAGACTGCCCTGGCCACTAGCAGCGGGAAGATCTGCAGCTGAGTCCCTCCTGAGGAAAACTAATGTCAGGCACATGGCTTCTTACAGAAGCACAGAGCTGCTCCCCATGGTAGTGTTGCTAATCCTTGGACTGAATTTGCCAGGCCTTCAGTCGAGGGATTAGGGAGAATATGTTCCGAGCATTTCTTCATTTATGCTTGCAGCATCCAGATGACCTCTTATGGAAAGGATGGAATTCTAATATTCTGAATTGTAGAGAAGTACTTTTTCAAAATCATAGTGAGAATCCAGCAGCCAGGCCAGACACCCTGGTTCCCTGAGTCCCAAACTGCAGTCCTTTTCCAAGCCTTCAGTGAGCCTCCCCCTCAATAGGACAAAGGCTGTGTCCCTGGGAAAGGCATGCATTAAAATCTCGACAGTTCTTACTTTTTCAGGTCTTTTTCTCTCAACAGCTATTCTCATGCACTTAAGTGATCTCAGGCCACAAGGTCTTGCCAAAAACCAGCCTTACTCAGTTCCTATTTCAGACTTTCTGGCAAAATGCCCTCCTTCTCTAGGTAGGAATCTTGCTTGCCCGCTTGTGATACTATGTTTAATGCACCATAGGTACTAAGTAGAGCTAAACCCGTGGGTGAGAGCAAACATCCTGGGGCAGCAGGTAGATACCCAGACAGCAGGCCTTGATCATTTAGTAAGCTTAGAGAATATCCGGCATCTTCTAGCTTTAGCAGACTATCTGTAGTTGAGCTTAGGAAAGAAAGACTTCAGCGACCAAGACAGAAAAGAAGGTGGAAGGTTGAAACATGAAGGGAGAGGAGTCCCTTCCAGCCACCAGAAGGGACTGTCACAGCAGAAGGGCAGCTGCTGGTGGAAGCTCTGAGGCAGCTCCTGAGGGCCTGGCTGTTGGCTGGCCTAGAACACTGGCAAACCAGCAACGTGCTGGTGAGGTCGGGGCCAGGGAAGGCATGGGCTCTGGTCTCCACTACACTGGGGCTTTATGAGGTGGAGGCCTCCAGGATGCAAGAGAGACACCCCTCATACCCAAAACTGAGATGCTTCTGATCCAAACAGCAGAAGTCAAGTCAACGTGTGATGAGACCTTAATTAGACCTTTTCTAATGGTGTGTGTGCATGTTCCTACCTGAATTTCCAGTTACAAGATGTTAAATACAGCAGGTCAAAACAGAAAAACAGTGAAAGGGGTATCTGTGTGTGCCCATGGTAAGGGAGAGATATGATGTTTCGTCCATTCGTGCATTCATTCATTCACTTAATGCATATTTATTCAGTTCCTACCGCATGCCAGGCCGTGCGTGCACTAGGCACAAGTACAAGAAGTAGAAAAAGCAGACACCATTCCTGTCCTCATGGAGCTTAAAATCTAGTCAAGGAAACAGACATCAATCAAATCATCACCCAGACAACTGTAAAATCCTCACGTGTGGGCAGTGACAGTGCTGACTGTGAAGCGAGGAGGAAGCTGGAGTGCCCAGGATAGTGAGGAGAGCCTCAGAAGCAATAGACAGAGGCCAGACTCCGCCCGCCTGCCTGCTTTCTTCTTTTTGACATTCTGAGATTATTTGTAATCATTATAAAGTAACACAGTATAATAGCTTAAGGTCCAGAATATTTAAAGCGTTGCTACAATGTAATGAACGACAAGAACCCAGTCATTAATTTGATAGGTGAGAAGTTGATCTGCCGAGCTCTGGGACACAGCTCTGTGTTTGTTGCTTCATCATCCGTGATGGTTTCTCTCTGGCTGTCTCTTCTGCCCCATTGCCAGGTTCAGGCCTACCTGACATGTTGCAAACTGCGTTCTGCCTACCTGATTGCCGTGAAGCAAGAGCACTCACGCGCCACAGTCCTCGTCCAGCAGGTGCAGCAGGCCGCCAAGAGCAGCGGGGACACAGTAGTGCAAGACATCTGCACACAGTGGCTTCTGACGAGCCACACCCGGGGTGCCCACGGCTCAGGCTCCAGGAAGTGACCATGGGCAGCGGGGCCTGAATACTGTGGAACAGGAGAGATGGAGATGATCTCTCCCTCTTTCCTCCTGTGCAGTGGGACTTCCCTGGCTCTGCCCCAGGTCGGAAAGAGCTGGATTGGACCCTACTTGCCATCTTGGGCAAGGATAGGACCTTTCACGCCACGCAAGTGCCATGTTTCTGTAAAATTGTGGAATCTGTATGTTTGTCTGGAGATGGCCAGTTCTTTCTACCTCAGAGTGAGTGAGTGTGCGTGCACTCTCCTGTGCACTCATGTTTACGCCTAAGCATTTCTGAACAAACAAAACAACCCCCCCACCCCCCACCAAAAAGAGGCACTTTTACTTTAGACTTCTGCCAGTCTGAAAACCTTCCCTGCGTTTTGGTTCTTAACCCGGGTCATCCTGTTTATATGCAGTTCCTTCCGTGTGGAGATGCTCAGTAGCTCCTCATAACTAGAAGGGTTTTACAGAGAATTCTAGAGCAGCACCAAAAGGATTGCCTCTTATTTCTTCCTTCTCCTCCCCAAATTCAGAGATGGCCTTGGGGCAAGTGCTAATTGTGGAATAAAACTGGTCCATGCATGTCCTGTCACAAGCACAAGGAGTTACCAGGAATCTTTGGAAGGTAGTGTGAACAGAAGGATCCTCAGGTGCCGGCGTCTGAAAACTGGATTCACACAGTGAGGGGGTCAGAGCCCCACACACCGGCAGGCAGGGCACCGTCACATCCATCCCACAGGGAGAGAAAAGTGAACCTCTCCAAACAAGAATGCAGGAAGGTTGCCGACAAGCACAGAGCTGGCTTCTGCGAATATCCCTGCCACAAAGAGAGAACACGGCTCCCTAGTCGAGAGTGAAGAGAGAAATGGTAGCCACGATCCTAGGACTAAAATGGCTAGACTGCCTGTTTGAATTACAGTCCTATTTGTGCCCCTTTAAAATGGTTAGGAAACTGCTTCCTCTTCTCTCCTGCTTCTCCACAGTCTCAGCAGGACCACAAGATGAAGACGCAGAGAACCAGGGTCATTGAGAGGGCGGTGCACTTCTTTGTCTTCACAGAGGGAGTCGTGGGTTGGGCCTGTGGATAAGAGTCAAAACAAAGGGACAATGAATAGGTCCCCATCCAGTTGGTGGAAAACCAGGTGAAGTACTCCTTTCATACTCCCACACCAGATGCGATTTAGAAAGGGTCTTTCATCCTTAATGACTTGGATTTGCAAATGAGGGCCCTGAGGAAAGCTCTGCAACTCTGAGCCTCCCACCAGCCGGAGCTCAGTCTGAGGATCTCACATTTGTTGCTGAGACAAACAGGAACTGGAAGCCAAAGTCAGTATCTCTGGTGCTTAGACCTATGGATTTCTCTCTGAACCAGGTTTTTTGATAGTAAAAAAACAACTGTTATGGGCATCTGTCAAATTCAGAGCTTTGGTCCTATAGAGAGGAGAAAGACTCTGCACAGAAAATATTAGATCTCTTTTTGGGAGAAGTTTAACAAGTGAAGTGGTTTTTCCTTCTTTGAGTCATAGAATTGTCTGTCTTCCAGGAAATGTCATTCCCTGGCATCTGCTTGCCCTTCAGAGTCTGCCTGTCCTCTTTGCACTGGACATAAGCACTTTATATGAATGGGTTGCAAATCGTGCAGCTTTTAATTTGGCATGTTAAGACCAGATTTTTCTGGGGCACCTGGGTGGCTCAGTCATTAAGCGTCTGCCTTCGGCTCAGGTCATGATCCCAGGGTCCTGGGATCGAGCCCCGCATCAGGCTCCCTGTTCAGCAGGAAACCTGCTTCTCCCTCTTCTACTCCCCCTGCTTGTGTTCCCTCTCTCACTGTGTCTCTCTCTGTCAAATAAATAAAATCTTTAAAAAAAAAAAAAAAAAAACAGATTTTTCTGACTTTTTTCCTCTAACTAGTTGAACTATAAAATAGGTAACCATTGACTGGACTAAGATGAGGCTAAAGGTCTTTGAGCATCACGCTGTAGTCTCCAGGGAAAAAAAAGTACATGTTGAAGGGTTGAATGTTTCACTACAGGCAAGCCACAATAAAGTGTCTATCCTACCAGTTTCTTGGCTTTGCGACTTTTTTTGTGATGTCTTGCTCTTACCCTTCCCTTCCTTTTTGCCTTGTGTTCTGTGTGAAGTGAAACCACAGGTGGGGGAGCTCAGATGGTCTTCAGTTCTTGAATTTTCTTGAAATGATTCCCATCATAACTAATGACTCTTTGGTTAGGATTTATCTCAAGTTTCCTATGTGTTCAAAACTATTAGTGTACTCTCTACCACCAGAAAACTTTTTTGCTTCAATTGGGGTTGTAGGTGGAAGTAGGTTATACATTCATCAGGTATAGAAAGTAAGTGAAAAAAGTCCCTCCCATCCCTGTCCCCTCAACCCAGTGCTCTCCCAGAGGCCACCAATGTTACCAGTTTCTAGTGTATACTTCCAGAGCTATCTTACTGTGTAAACTAAACAGCAATGACTAAAATATTCCATGGTGAAAGATATACCATAATTATTTAACCAGTCTCTTGGATATTTTAGGTCATTGCTATCTCTCACCACTACAAACTATGCTGCAGTGAATTATCTTGTCCCAAATCCCCTGGACAAGGATGAATGGATGTGTGCATTTGGCACATATTGCCAGTTGCCTTCCAAAGAGGTCACAGCAATGAACTCTTCCACCAGCAGTGTAGGACAGAACCCACTTTCCCATATCCTTGCCATTGAACTTTGTGGCTCTTGGCCAGTCCGATACATGAAAAATGGTACTGAACATTTTTTTAAGCTGCTCATCATTTTTAAAAATCCATATGTCTTTTTAATATCAACCAAATTGTAAATCTTCAAAACCAAGTGTAGGGTCTTTGGGGAAAGTAGAACTGAAGCTTAAATTGTTTTCTTGCCACCCTCTTAGAGCATGTGTTTACAGTATAATACTTAAGCCATGGACTGTAGCATTGCTGCCATTATCTCCTTTCCCCAGAAACATGACCTCTTCTAAATTTCTCATTAAAAAAAAAAAAAGTTCAGAAATTGTGATGAAAGTAGACCTGAAAATCACCTGGTATGGACATGGCACAAAGATGTATCACAACACAGATAATTAGAACACCCAATCTAACTCTAGGATAGGGGACTATAGACTATGTTTAGAAACCTGAGACACTCCAAAGTTACCAGTTATCTTTGGCTGGAGCTTAAACGAAGTAGGTCAAATGCTTTTAGACTGTCTTCATACCCAAGCAACCAAATATGAATAGTCCCATAACCCAAAGGTTATGGCCTTTGTTGGTCATCATCTCTTCCATAGTAATAATGTCGACTGCCCTGTCCTTAAAACTTCCAATTCCTCTACAACAAATTCATTCCACATCTGGTTATTGAATGGCTTTCTTCAGTGGAGTGCTTTCCTGCTCGTTTCTTCATGTTGTTATTTCTGCTTGGAACCCTTCCTTCACAACCTCCCAGTCTCTACCCCACCCACCAGTCTACTGTTGTCAAAACCCTGTCTTCAGGTTCATTTTATGTCCCATTTCCTCTACAGATTGTTTCTCTGACTATATACTTTCTCTTCATCCTACTTAAAGGCTGAAATTCTTCAAGATTCTATCCATTCTCTCTTGACCCTTATACTCTCCAATACAATCCCATAATTTCAACAATCATCTTGGCTTGCTGAGTTCTAAACCAAAGCTGTCCCTCTTAATTCCTGTCCACATCAGACCTGCCTTTTGATTGTTTCCAGGAAGTCACCCACATGGATGACCTCGTGGCTAATATTATAAAAATATTAGCAAGTCCAAAATGGAACACATCCTATTCCACCCACAAACCTGATCTTCCTCCTTCAGTGATTTGTATTACTGTTATTATCACTGTTAGGCATGCTGCCTGGGTTAGAAACATCAAGGTTTCTCTGTATTGACTATTTCTTCCCATTCCTCATTCAAACCTTCCGGTGCGTACCATGCATCAAGCATATATCCAGTTGGAAGCCAAATGCTATTATCATCCTACCTTTCCAGTCAGAAGAACCTCAATTTAAAGGAAACAGGAACTCAAACAATGGAAATTTGGCTCCTGCTATCTTTTTAGAAGTAAATTGTTAAACTGATATGTCACCTGCATGAGATTGCACCCACAAAGAACCATAGCTTTTTTTGAGAGAGAGAAGTGACCATAGAATACATTGAATGCATCTTATTTTTTCATTCAATTATTTATTCAACAAATAAATACTGATTACAGTTACATAGTGAGCTGCATGCTAGAGATATAAAGATGATCAAAATAGACAAAGTTCGTGTGCTCCTGGTACTTACAGAGTCCTCACAGATGACCCTCCCCCCTCTCATGTGCTCTCTCTCATTCTTGCTCTCTCAAATGAATAAATAAAAAATCTTAAAAAAAAAAAAAAAGTCATAGAGGCCAAGGAAGTAAGTTGACTTCCAGCTCCATGTGGCTCTTTTTACTCTTGAAAACCACCCCCGAAGAGTCAGGAGGAACAGACTCTAAACAAACATACCTCCGAACAGAAATGAACAATATAGGGGCGCCTGGGTGGGTCATCGTTAAGCGTCTGCTTTCAGCTCAGGTCATGGTCCCAGGGTCCTGGGATCGAACCCTACATTGGGCTCCTTGCTCAGCAGAAAGCCTCCTTCTCCCTCTCCCACTCCCCTTTCTTGTGTTCCCTCTCTCGCAGTCTCTCTCTCTGTCAAAAAAATAAATAAAATCTTTAAAAAAAAAATGAATGATATAAAGATTTAAAAATGGATGGAGTGATACTTCTGCTGTAGAAGGTGGAAAGGAAGAAAAGATGAGGGGGATACAGGTAAGTTTGCTGATTTGGTAGCCGAAGGACCATGTTCTCTATGAAGTCAGAGGAGAAGTCACCTGTTAACAGCCCAAGGTTGCTGATAGGTTGAGTGACTTGAGAAGATGGAGAAGACCTGAACCACGTGTTGTAAGCTGAGAAGCAGTGTTCTGTGAAGCTTTTGAAGTTTATTTGGGCCTCTGTGGGTGAAGGGGTCCCTGAGAGCTGTATTCTGGGGTGGAGGGCAGAGAGACTGGTTGCCATTAGCATTTTTATGCAAGTATTGCTGGTAAATTGCCTAAAGAGCTCTCAGAAGACCTTAAATTCCCATGGCTCCAGTTACTCATTTTTTTTTCTTTTTTTCTCATTTTAAAGCAACATCCACTTTTGTACCTAATTTTGTATCTGTAGTTTTGTATTCTTTTTTTTTTTTTTTTTAAGGGAGAGAAAGAGCATGTGCATGCAGGGTGGGGGGCAGTCAGAGGGAGCCAGAGAGAGAGCATCTTAAGCAGGCTCCATGCCCAGCGTAGAGCCCAGTGCAGGGCTCCATTTCACCACCCTGAGATCATGACCTGAGCCAAAATCAAGAGTCGGATGCTTTAACCAACTGAGCCAGCCAGGCACCCCATATTCTCTTCTTAAATATGGTCCCACAAATTGCCTAAGCTTCTCTGGATCCATCCTTGACTGTGGGGAAACAAGTGATCACTGAAGCCAGCTGACGTTGAGGACCAGTGGTTGATAGTGGTTCTAGACTGCCAGGCTGTGTGATTTTCTCCAGAAATCAGAGATTTGGATTCTTCAAGGCTTGGCTTTTGCTAGACAGGTGTGATAATAGGACAAGGGAATTAGCAAGGGGAGCTGGAGGAGAAGGAAGTTAGGTTAGAGTGGGATGTTGGAAGGTAACATACCTGAGGAGCAGCAAGTTCATGTAATGACAGGGTGTCCAGATGTGACCCTTCTCATGGGAATGGGAGACCAAGGAAGAGTGAAGGAGGTCAGTGCTGAGGAGATCAAGGAACTGAATCTGAGTGGACATACAGCACACTTTCAAATACTAGTGCTTTGGGCAACCCATATGTACCCATGGTTATCACCCTCTTACAGTACCATGATGGTATTTGAGTCAAGATACTTACTGTCTAATCATGAGGCAGAATTCTCATATGTTCAGTAAACAATCTTTCTTTCGTGCCAGACTGACATTAAACCTCTCTGGTAGACATGGGCCCTGGCACAGGAAAGGCACCTCTTCTTTGGGAATTCCCAGAGCTGGGCCGTCAGTGCACATGTCTGGGTTATGTGAACAGTAATGCCCTTAGACCCAGGCAAGAAGGGCTCCTTCCCTCAGTCATGCACTTTAAAAAACCCTACATTTCACAAAAATGCACTTGAAAGTAGTAAATTTATTTAAGAATGTGTGAACATCTCTGTTACTTGGGCTCTGATGCTCAGTTCTGACATAACACAACCTGATACCCTAAACATCTGCTCTCATGCCTAACACTGTTAAAGCCCCCAGGAAAACAAGTTTTGACTGCCTCCAAATGCTTTAAAGGTGTTGTAGATGGTGCCGCTGCTCCTGAGTGCAGTGAGGGTTTGAACAGAGGAAGCGACTGGGGAGGAGAAAAGGCCAGTTAGGCACATTCATTCTCAGCATGAGGATCACAGATACTTGCATTAAAATGGATATCATTTTCAGTAGTGCTGAGTGTCTATTTTTTCTTGTCTCTCTTCTTTTTCCAATGTGTGTGCTTGCAACACTTGTATTTGGAGGCTAAATAATAATTCATTTAACCTTTAAATTGATAGACATGAAGGTGTAGAGGAAACGTGAATGAAATATAATATCCATTGTTTACACTGACAACTAAATGGACATTGAATATTAGAATCATGAATAGTTTTATTTTTACAAAAATTCCTAGAATAAATTTTCAAAAGGTAAAAAGCTTTATTTAAATAATTTTTATTTAAAATGTTGATATTTGGGGCATCTGGGTGGCTCAGTCGGTTAAGCATCTGCCTTCGGCTCAGGTCATGATCCCAGGGTCTTGGGATCAAGTCCCACATCGGGATCCTTGCTCAATGGGGAGAGTCTGCTTCTCCCTCTGCCTGCCACTCCCCCTGCTTGTGCTCGCTCTCTCTCTCTGTGTCAAATAAATAAAATCTTAAAAAAAAATAAAATAGGGGCGCCTGGGTGGCTCAGTTGGTTGAGCGGCTGCCTTCGGCTCGGGTCATGATCCTG